CATTTAGTTCAACATATAACTTTACCAACTTCTCACTATAAAGTACTTAGTTACACAAAATATGTAAGTAATTTATCTCTATAGCGCATCAAAGGACTAATTTATTAAATTACTAGCTGACCGAACGTACTTCGTTCCGCCTAACAGTCGATTCTTTAATTTTTTTTTATTATGATATCAACTTCAAGAAAAGAGCATATTCCTTTTTAAAAGGCCGGCAGCACACCTGCAATGCCGTTAGTGTTATGGGTGATCATGAGCGGCGGTAGTCACTTACCATCAGGTGAGCCGCATGCTCGTTTGCCCCCTGTGTTGTAAAAAAAAAAACTTAATTTCATTTTATTTTTACTAATTCCAAATTGAGTTATATTTTTATTGACAATTTTAATTGTACCCGCGACTTCGTCCGTGTGGAATGCGCGTGAGCTGCGCGCGGTACTGGACAGTACTTGGACATTACAACATTTTACTTTATTTATCTAAAATAAAAGATTTTTTCTAAAATAAACGTAGCCTAAGTTACTCCTTATTACATCAGCTACCGGCCAATAAAAGTCCCGTCAAAATCGATCCAGCCATTTCAGAGATTAGCCGGAACAAACAGACAGACAGACAAAAATTGTAAAAAATGTTATTTTGGTGTATGTACCGTATTCATTTTGTATTCATATACATGTAGTAAAAAACGATTATTTCAATATTACAAACAGACACTCCAATTTTATTTATATGCATACATAAAGAATGGCACGGCTAAAATTTGTAGAAAGAAAGAGAGAAATGCCATACGGCATTAAGCTCGCTATTTGTATAATTTATTTATTCTTTATTGACCACATTATAAAAAAAAAATGGCACAAAAGGCGGACTTAATACTATATAGCATTCTCTCGCAGTCAACCTTTGGCAAAACAGAAATGGAATTATGCGGTGAAAAAAATTGAAAGTTGTTACAGATAAACAATTACACGTACGTATCGATTTTGTTGTGCAATAAGAAATAAATAAGTAAAGCAAGAAATACAATTAATTTATGTATATGCTTTTGGACATTCTTGTACAAGATTGAAAGATGTTTGTTATTCTTTCATGCAAAAGCTACTAAACAGATTATATATACTGTTAGGTTTTTTTTTAATGGGTGATAATGGAATGGTAACCCCACCCGCGCTATCGGTATACACCGGCGGGGCACCAGTGAAGGATGATAGGTGAGGATGAAGCAGGTCAGTTAGCCCATCGTGACGAATTCAACAAGAATTGTTCACGATGGTTTCCAGGGGGGACCACGTGGAGGTCGGCCTAATAGGGCATGTTGCTAGCAATGGGGCTATCAAACTCCATAGCTAACAATCCCTTTCCCCCTATACTGTTAGGTTATATCCTATCTCATCACAGGGTATTTTATATATTGATTTGCGCAGGTGAAACTGTAATATATATCTAGTAAAGGATAAACGGACATAGTTTGGAACTAGTAAGTTATATTATGACTTAGCACATACTTTATGTATTTATTAACGCGGGTGAAACCGCGATATACGTCTAGTAAAGGATAAATGGATTTAATTTAGCAATAGGCAGACTCGACTCACATTTTCAAAATGTTTTTATTATACCAATTTTCTATGTCACTTTGGTGTAATTGGAAAATCTCATAGGCCGAGTTCTTTTTGCTAAACTACAGTCAAACATATAAAATACTAGCTTTTGCCCGCGACTTCGTGCGTGTGAAATTTGGAAGCAAGTAAAATATTCTTTAAAAACAATAAATAGACTTCTTCGAATCCTTTGTACAAAAGTAGATTGCTTGGGTACCTCTGTTCCATTCGTGTTTCAACCGTGAAGCAGCTGTGTTTGCATGACTGTGTTTCCGTTTGAAAGGTGGGATATGGCGTGAATTTACAGAGTACAGAGGAATAACACCTGAGTCCTCAGGAATGGCAATGCATGGGGGCTATCATGGGCGAAACAGTATACTCTGTTATGTCCATAGTACTCATGACTATAGACAACGGTTACCACTTTCCATCAGGTGGGCCGTCAGCTCGTTTACCATTCTAAGTTGTATAAAAAAAGTATACCGACAGCGCAGGCTGTCGGTATACTTTTTCTATTTCATTATCATTCATTAAAAAAAAATAGACTCATGAATACAAAGTAGAACTAGACAGTAATGTGGATGACACAAGCGGACCTCTATTTATATGAAAACTATCACTAAAAACTTGCTCGTGATTACAATAATCACGAGCAAGTATTTAGTGATAGTTTTCTATTTAGCTATCTAGCTATTTATGATATATTGTTGATAAAGTCAAATCATCGTCATCATCATATGATAATTCTTTAGTGCAGTTTACTAGGCTTATTAATAATATGGATTGGTAGTTAGATCTTCTCTAATTGTATAATTGTTACATAGTATACATTGACGATATTTCGACATTTATGATATTTCGAATTTGGAACACGTTTATTATTTTGAAAACTTCATTCGATTTCGCGCCATTTCACATATTTTTTCGTGTTCATTATCAAATTACAATATGGAATAGGGTGTTAAAGAAACTAGGATTGCAGTCATCGCCTGGCACAAAGTGGGTATGAGCCGTCAGTCATAGAATGCATTTTTTTTTATACAACTTAGAATGGCAAACCAGCTGACGGCCCACCTGATGGAAAGTGGTCGCCTATAGACATGAGCAATACCATGGACATAACAGAGTATACTGTTTTGCCCATGATACCCCCCATGCGTTACCATTCCTGAGGACGCAGGTGTTATTGCTCTATATCCAGTAAATTCACGCCATATCCCACCCTTCAAACCGAAACACAACCATGCAAACACAACTGCTTCACGGTAGAAACACGAATGGGACAGAGGTACCCAAGCAATCGACTTTTGTACTCCCTCTGGTAAATGATTTTTATTTCTAACAGAACTTATGGCTGGACTAGCTATTTATTCAAACCAAACTTGAATATATAATACTGTACAACTAATACTTGTTAATTCTCTTAACTTTACCATATACGTATAAATTTATTGACTCCGAATCTAAAAGCTGAATACAAATAGATAGGCTCTATTAAGCCGATTTTAAAGCTAAAAATAGATATATAAATTATATGCTCTGGCCACATCTATTTAAATACAAGTTTGCGGTGTCTGTGGTATTATTGAGTACTTCAAGCTAATATTGTTGGAGATATTTTAAAACTATTACACGGGTATATTACTAAAAAAAGGCTTTATTTAATGACTAACAAAAGGCCAACCAAATAAATTTTTTTAATAATAAAAAATTTGTAGATTAATCTTGATATAATTTAATAGTAGTCCTGAAGTCCTTGAAATCGTTTCTTTTTTACTAAGGCTCTCGATTGGTCCTGAAACTAGTTAAGCTTTTTCGTCCAAATTACACGTAAGTTAAACTGGTCATTATTATATTAAAAGGTGATATAATTATATTAAAAGGTGATTGGACATAAACAGATTACGTTAGTTATAGTCGTGTCAATTATTCGTTTGTTTAAGTATCAAACATTTTTATTAAAACATACTGTCAGTTAGATTGAGATACAGACGATAACTTTTAATAAATCTTTTTTAATAAATATTTTATTTAAAAACACATTTTAACAGTGTAAACACAAATGACAAATAAAACCAGAGACTGAATACAATATGGCGTGAGCTGGGTTTTTCCCTAAGCGATACTAGATGGCGCTACGTGTTCCTTTTACCACAGATAACATAAATAAGATTATAAAATTTACCTAATTACAACACATGCTAATCAATCAATTAATCATTGTGTGATTTTATTGTTGAAAGTTTTTTTAAGTACGTATTTTAATGTACTATTTACCGATTTAATTTATGTGTAATTTAGTCGAAAAAGTTTTGCTAAGATCGGGACCATCCGATTCTAAGGACTTTAGGACCATATCTAGGTACAAAATGAGAAAAATTCAAATACTGCACACATAATACAAGTCTGTAGTGGCGAGATTGAATTATTCATAAGTTCCAAGATATTTCCTTAATATAGAACATTCGTAATGTAGATATTCATCTAGTAGTAATATTGAGCGTTAGATCTTACAGATGGTACGCTTAGTATCTCATGACAAAATTCTTAAAAGCCTTCCTAATTAACCACTTAAATTTTCTTCGCAATAAAAAAAAACCGCGTTAATAATCTTACTAGTAGATTCTTATTTTAAAACGAATAAAATGCACATATGAGTGTCGGATATCTATAGAAGAAAATCTAATTGTAGACATGACAATATTTATTTATTTATTTATACTTTTGCACACATTAAAACATGTCTACAGGGCGGACTTGTCGTCATCATCCATTATCTGTCCACTGCTAAACATGAGCCTCCCGTAAACTGTCATGTCAATATTTTTTTTTTTTTATTTATACAACTTAGAATGGCAAACAAGCTGACGGCTCACCTGATGGATAGTGGTAACCGTCGCCTATAGACATGAGTAGTACCATACACATAAAGGAGTATACTGTTTCGTCCATGATACTCCCCATGCGTTGTCATTCCTGAGGACTCAGGTGTTATTCCTCACAAGGTACAGTAAATTCACGCCATATCCCACCCTTCAAACCGAAACACAGCCATGCAAACACAACTGCTTCATGGTTGAAACACTTCAGCACAGCTTCTTTATTGACATTTCGTAAAATTTATATAATACATATTATTAATATAATAAATCAGACAGTTTGAAACGATTGATGGAGTTTAATCTTTCGCGCAAAAACTACTGGACAGATTTGAATGAAATTTGGTACACGGATTAGGATATATCCTAACTTAGCTTTTAGAATTCTTTATATACTGATACACGCAGACGAAGACGCGGGATACAACTAGAAATAAATTGTTTTTTATAAAAAAAATAAAGAAATATGTAATATCAATTTTAGTGAAATCCGTCCCTGACCAATGTTATATTGTTCCAGTAACAAGATGATAGACCCCAGCTCCTCAGAAGAGGACAGCGAGGATGAACATAAGAAGCAGCCTTCGAAATTACCCGGTGAGTCAATTTAATTCTTTAAACTTTAATGTATTATGACTGGTGATGACGTGGTTGCTCGTTGGGCTGAAATATGGTTGAACACAACGATGGCTAGTTCATCCGTCATACTCGTGAACGGTTTTTTTTTAATGGTTGATAATGGACTAGTATCCCCGCCTACGCTATCGGTATACACCGGCTAGGCACCAATGAGGGAAGATAAGTGGGGAAGAAAGAGCAAGTTTTTTTTGATGGGTGAAAATCGTATGGTAACCCCGCCTGCGCTAACGGGATACGCTGGCGGAGCACCATTGAAGGGTGATAGATTAGAATGAAAACAGGCCAGTTAGTCCATCACGATGAATTCATCAGAAATTAACCATGATAGTTTCCAGGGGGAACCGCGAGGAGGTCGACCTGTTTGGGTATATTGCTAGCAATGGGATTCTCAGTTTCCATTACTAACAATCCCTTTTCCCTCTAATGGAAAGAGCAGGTTAGTTAGCCCATTGTGATGAATACACCTGGAATTCAGCACGACGGTTCCCAGGGGGACCACGTGGAAGTCGACCTGGTAGTCAATCCCCTCTCCCACTTGTGAATGGGTGATTCTAGTAGGCACTGGTCTGTTCAAGAATACAGTGATTGATTATAGTTTTCCTCTTCAATATGACGTTTGTGAAAGTGGTTTTATCTTATCACTTTTTTTTTGTAAACTCAAATTTCATTTTAAAAAAAGAACACTTGTTACTTGCCCGTTCTTTAAAAAAAAATTAATTTATTTTTGTAGAAAAATATAAAATGATAAGTCAAATGAAAGTATTGATTATTTGATTAGAATCATTTTGTTTAATTCCGCCACCATTATTATTTGATAGCGGAAATTGTTGAGATGGTTGGATGGAAAAATAGACGGTAACTTTTAATATTTCTTATATTTTATTTTATTATATATGCTAGACATGCGACGCAAGTGACAGAGCAAATCAGAGAGCGAAATACAATATGGCGTGCGCAGAGTTATTCTCAGAGCGATAACAGATGGCGCTACGTGTGCCCTTTACATAAATATGATTAATAAATTTAACATAATTACAACAGAAATAAACAAAATACTTCTACTCAAATAAAACAAGTGATATGGACTTCCGCAAGATAACACCTAGTTCAGTAAAATAGATAATAAGTACTCGTATAACAAAATACAAAATAAATTAAAGACTTAAAGTTTTGTTTCTAGAACAAACTTTTACAAAATAACATAAAAAGGTCTTTTTAAGAAAATAAAATACACTAACATATGTACAAGCAGGATATTAGCAAATGATAATACGTGATAATGGAGTCGTAAATGAGGTCGATTGGTCGATCTTGACGAATTCGCCACAAATTAATTGTGATGAAGCGAACTTAATAGTCGAGGAATGGGCAGAAGCGTCTCTCTTAAAATATCATCAAAGCTAACTGCAGTTACCGATTCGCCTGCCAAGTATGGCAACTACTGGCAAAACTTCTTATGGGGAAAACCTATGTCCAGCAGTGGACAGTTTACGGCTGATATAATAATAATAACTATGATGATTTCCATGGGGGACAGTGTGGAAGGAGAAAGGGAGGTCTCCAGTTCTCGTCGTCCCATGACGATGGATGAAATTCTTAAAGCAGAAAGAAGTAATATTTAATATAACAAGAACTAACAGGGATCGTTAATAATGGTGTTACAATCGTAGGTATCAATTTCTTTTCCTTTAATCTATACGTAAATAATCACAAAGAAAATCATTAGTGGGGGAAATATTGAGTTTAGACTTTATTTTCGTTCGCGGCTGCCATGGGAATAGAGTATTAAATTAATTACTTCTCTACTTTAACAAGGTAAAGCCAGTTTGCTTTCACCGACTTTATTATTTGCAAAAACACAATATTCTGATTTTCTGTATCTATTTCAAGATTTATCGCAAATACAAGTAACGTAGCTACTCTTCTACCAGAGGGAGACTTTGTACAAAAGTCGATTGCTTGAGTACCTCTGTCCCATTCGTGTTTCTACCGTGAAGCAGCTGTGTTTGCATGGCTGTGTTTCGGTTTGTAGGGTGGGATATGTCGTGAATTTACTGGATACAGAGGAATAACACCTGAGTCCTCAGGAATGGCTACGCATGGGGGGTATCATGAGCGAAACAGTATACTCTGTTATGTCCACGGTACTGCTCATGTCTAAAAAATCTTAACATCATTAAATAAGTCGTCCTATAATAGTTTTTCTTATATCTCTTCCATGTACAGACAGCGATCAGTTACGATTTTATTATATGTATTGATTGATAGAGGAGCAAGGTCGATCACATTGACAATCACGCTTATACTGATAATAGCGGAATTAAACAAAATAATTTCAATCAAATAACTAGTGATGTGAACTTCTGCAAGATAACAATTAATTCAATTAATATAAAAAAAGCCAACAATCTTTATTTATAGGAGAAAGAGATTGTTAGCAATGAAGTTTGACAGCCCCATTGCTAGCAATATGCCTTATTAGGTCGACCTCCACGTGGTTCCCCCTGGAAACCATCGTGAACAATTCTTGTTGAATTCGTCACGATGGGCTAACTGACCTACTTCATCCTCACCTATCATCCTTTACTGGTGACCCGCCGGTGTAAACCGATAGCGCGGGTGGGGTTACCATTCCATTAGCATCCATTAAAAAAAAGACTGGAAGAGAATGCTTTTAGCATTAAATCCGCCATGTACACATATATGTACTAATGAATAAATAAATAAATAAATAAATAAAAGAAAGATCAATTTGCCCTTTTGTACTTCATGTTTGTATGGTTAGTAGTTATATTGCATCATTCAATTATCTAAATCATTTTTTCAATTGCCACATCACTAGTGTAGAATGTTAGCAGATATTAAACTCACGCGATTCGTTTATATAGAAGGGGTTTTTTTTTAATGGATGATAATGGAATGATGACCCCGCCTGTGCTATCAGTATGTATATCGGTATACAACAGCGGGGCACCAGTGAGGGATGATTGGTGAAGATGAATAGGCAGGTCAGTTAGCCCACCGTGACGAATTCAACGATAAATTAGTTACGATGGTTTCCAGGGGGAACCGCGTGGAGGTCGACCTGGTAGAGTATATTGATAGCAACGAGGACTAACCTCCCCATTACCAACAATCCCTTCCCCCCATTTAGCAGGGGTTCCCGAACTTATTTTGTCTACTGCCCACTTTGAGAATAAATTATTTTTTAGCGCCCCCATTTTTTCACCTACTTAAAAAGCACTATTACTTCAAGATCAACAAATCACTCCCCAAGTCTCTACACAACGCCCCCTTTTTTTATGCCTCTTACCGCCCCTCTTCGGCTTGCAGCGTCCACAAGGGGGCGTTATCGCCCACTTTGGGAAAAGCTGGTTTATAGGGATGGATAATTTTATATGTAGCAATATCTATATATTTTAGTTAAAATATCATATATATATATATATATATATATTTAATTTTAACGTATACCGATATGGGCGATATCGAACAATCGATATTTCCCAATATATAGATATCGAATTGGTATCGGTTATAAACGCATAGGCGTGGGTGATGCCTATTCATTTATTTATTTAGTAATTACGGATTCGAACAAAAGGAAAATATAAAACATTTTGTATTGCAAATAAACATCGTTTACCTTTTAATAATTATTTGAACTATTCACCAGAGGGAGACTTAGTACAAAAGTCGATTGCTTGGGTACCGTACAACCGTGAAGCAGTTATGTTTGCATGGCTGTGTTTCGATTTAAAGGGTGGGATATGGCGTGAATTTACTGGGTACAGAGGAATAACACCTGAGTCCTCAGGAATGGCAACGCATGGGGGGTATCATGGGCGAAACAGTATACTCTGTTATGTCCATGGTACTGCTCATGTCTATAGGCGACGGTTACCACTTTCCATCAGGTGGGCCGTCAACTTGTTTGCCATTTTAAGTTGTATAAAAAAAAATTTGAATATTCCGTACTTAATTTCAAGCTATTTTTAGTGTGTATTTTGCGCAAAATGTACTCAAAACAATGTTAATTACTATGTATTTTCAATAATTTTGGTAACACATTATCTTCTCGTCATCTTCACTAGATTCTCAATTCGGTGATAACTTTTTTATATTTGGTACCTCATAACTCCGTCAGTTTGGGGGAAAAAGATTGTTAGTAATAGAGACTGAGAATCCCATTGCTAGCAATATACCCAACCAGGTCGGCTTCCTCGCGGTTCTCCCTGGAAACTATCATGGTTAATTCCTTATGAATTCATCATGATGGGCTAACTGGCCTGTTTTCATTCTCATCTATCACCCTTCACTGGTGCTCCGCCAGCTTATCCCGTTAGCGTAGCGTAGCGTACCATGCTATTTTTACCCAAAAAAAAACTCCGTCAGTTTTAACCGCCGTGAGGTCGCGCGGGTGTCGTAAGACGCCACTAAGGGATGGCGAGGGATGGGCAGTAGCGTCTCTCTTAAAACATCTCTAAAGTCTAATTGCGGTTACTAATCCGCTTGCCAAGTGTGGCAACTTCCAAGCGGGAGGCTTATGTTCGGCAGTGCACAATTAAAAGCTGATATGATGAGAATGATTCTCTTCTTTGCAATGGACGTCAAAAAAGTTACTAATTTTTACAGTTTATTACCTCATAACTCCGTCAATTGTAAACTTGTATAGGAAAATTATTTTTTATCTGAAAGGATATGCTTTCTAGATTGGTTCCATAGAAACAACAGAGGGAGACTTTGTACAAAAGTCGATTGCTTGGGTACCTCTGTCCCATTCGTGTTTCTACCGTGAAGCATTTGTGTTTGCATGGCTGTGTTTCGGTTTGAAGGGTGGGATATGGCATGAATTTACTGGGTATAGAGGAATAACACCTGATTCCTCAGGAATGGCAACGCATGGGGAGTATCATGGGCGAAACAGTATACTCTGTTATGTCCATGGTACTGCCCATGTCTATAGGCGACGGTTACCACTTTCCATCAGGTGGGCCGTCAGCTTTTTTGCCATTCTAAGTTGTATAAAAAAAAATATCAAAATCTATTCAGTAGTTTAGTTTTTAAACCGAAATTTAAAAAAAACTAGTTAGTTTTTCCATAATTGAAGTAGATTTTTTTGCAGTACACAATTTTAAATTATATTTGACGTGTATATTTGATTTGATTTAAATTGTATTTTTTTTTTGTCAGTGGTACCACCAGGGTCTCTGGCGGGAAGCAGACCATCAGTCAGGGGGAAACCTGAACTGCCTCGGGGTTCCACTGCTGGGCTTCCAGGTTAGTATAAAAAAGATTAATGTCAAAGGTAATATAGGTTATAATACTATAAAGACTGCGTTACTTTCTACGATTATGAATATAAATGAGAAAGTTTGTGATAATAAGTACATGTATGGATAAATATTTGTTACTCTTTCATGCAAAAATTATTAAACAGATTTGAATGAAATTTGGTACACGAGTAGGCCATGTCCTAACTTAGCACATACAATATTTTATATACTTTATAATAATCTATTTATTTACTTTATACGGAATTATTATATTATACTGACCGTGTGGTCCCGGCATAGAATAGACCACTCGTTCCTTTCCCATAAATGTCGTAAGAGGCAACTAAGGGAGAGCGAGAGATGGGCAGCAGATATCCCTCTTAAAATATCTCTTAAACCTAAGTACGATTGCCAACCGCCTGCCAAACGTGGCAACTACTGGAAAATTCCCCCAAAGGGGAGGCTTATATTCAGCAGTGGATAATTAAAGGATGATACGGAATTATTACTTATAGCACAAAGTCTTTTATTTAGGTATTTAAATAGATTTTACATATTTGTATTTGAATGTTTAAACATGTGTTAATCACCTATCTATCTCAAGTATAACTTTTTGTAATAAAACAGATAATATAAGCGTTTTTTTATTTAAGATAAATAGATAGATAGATACTCTTTATTGTTTCCTCCAAAAGATTACAATAGTAAACTTATTATAGATATAAACAATTACAAGAAATAATCGCAGTGAGAAAACAATGGGCGACCTTATCGCTAAAAGCGGTCTCTTAAAAGGCAACCTTTGGATGGAGAGGAGTAATAATAAATATTTATAATAATAAATATATTTTAGTATATGATGTTTGCTAAAAATATAAATGAATAATGCAAAAGAAAATATACTCTGAATTTTCTGATGCATTTACAAATATCAGTAGGTAGCGTGCAAAGAAGTCACCGCCAAAGAACATGTAAAACTCGTTAGGCATACTGAATGCAGTCATTTGCTTCGCTTGCAATGCAACCGTTATTTCTACTCTACAAAACAGGGGTCAAGCGGTTCGTTTGTGTTTTACCATTTGTGAAATGTCTTTGAGAAATTTTCTTACAAAGTGAATTAAAAAGCTTTGTTATAGAATTGAATTGTTAGAATTTATTCACGTGTATGTGCTAAGTTTTTTTTTTAAAGGATGATAATGGAATGGCAACCCCGATGGGCCAACGGTATACGCTGGCAGGGCACTAGTGAGGGATGATAGACATGGATGAAACAGGTCTGTTAGCCCATCGTGACGAATTCGACAATAAATCTATCACAATGGTCTCCAGGGGGAACCGCGTGGAGATCAACCTGACAGGGCACATTGCCAGTGAGGGCTTCTGAGCCCAATTACTAACAATCATTTCTCCCCCCTATGAGCTAATTTGGGATATAACCTACCTGTAAAATACTAAGGTCATAAAGGCACTTTAAAACAAAAACAATTATGTGTACAGCTAAGTTTATTGGAAGGAACAAGTATAAAAATTCAAACAGTAAAAAAAGTTATGTTGCATGTCTAACGATTACAAAATATCGCGGTTCTAATTGAATGTGTTGCCATCTATTAATCATGTTTGAAAATTAAAACATTTTAAGCATTTAGCGCCAACTGACGGTGAATCCGAATTTAAATTCTAACACAGACCCCGAGGTCGTCACCTCCAGAGTTGAAGCCGGGGTAGAGGGGTATAACCCGAGGCCCCTACCTCGCCCGCCCACGCAACATCAGGCGACCAGAGACGACTTTGTTGATTGATTGACAACCCATACACCAAAATTCATTCAAATCTCTCTGTAGTTTTGACGTAGTAAACATACATTCATTTATCAATCGTTACAAACTTTCGCTTTTAAGATATTAATAGGATATTAATAAACTTTGATGGTATATACAGAAGATTTATTGATATATAAAGAATGTAAACTTAGGGTTACAGAAAACAGACAAATTATAAGAACTATTAAGATCAAAAGGAGAAAAAATGTTAGGACACTTGATACGACACGACGAACTTATAAACATTATAATAGAAGGTAAGATAGAAGGAAGGAGGGGAAGAGGGAGACCAAGGCATAGTTACATCAGACAGATCAAGGAAAAAATCGGTGTTGTGTCGTATCAAGGGGTGAAGAGACTCGCTAAAAAACATCATAAGTGGCAAGAACTCCACCGACAAGAGCATTTAATAATGATAATGACATTGATTTCACCTTATAGATTAGGTATTTTAATAGTCAAAATTTATATATGTCTTGTTCAAATTTCATTTTATTTTATTCTTCATAAATACCTAATGTTCATAACATTTAAATATGTAGCTTCACTAGAAATTGAACATTTTATTAAAAAAAAAATAATTAAAAACAAAAAAAAAGCCTTATGTACTAAAATGGCGCATCCAGAAGCCTTGTAAGTATAGAAAGCTCAAAATGTCATTTTTAGGCAAACGTTTTTCAATGATTGATGTCAATTTTATCTTATGTCTCTCTCTCTTTTAAAGATCATAATTATTAATGATTTTATTACTATTATTTTATTTTATTGCTCGAAAATTTGTTTCGGTTTTCAAATTTATACTTGCGAGTTCATTACACCGTGTAAATCGAAGAGTTTCTATTAATAAAATAATTAAGGAGATCTTCTTTAACATAATACATAATAAAAACATAATAATATGTTTAGTTCTTTTTTTTATTACAATATAGTACCTATATAACATAACATATAGTTCATAATAGCCAAGTACACATTACATCAGTCTAACATGTTAGAAATTATTCAGGAGCGAGTCCACTGACGACGGCGCCGTTAGCGGCCCCCCTCCACCCCGCCACCAGGCAAAGAGAGGCCGCTGCCTTAGCACCACCCCATGCGTAAGTACAGTGACATACCTCCATATTAATCCTGTAATTTGATATCGCATTACCCTGAACACCAAGCGATATCATAGACAAGTCCCAATTAATATTTCTACTAATTAACTCACGACCATTTCGTTTCATGAACTCATAGAAACGTAATGTAGCGACGCTTCAGCTGAAATGTAGTGCGTATAATGGTAGTAAGCCTGTAGTTTTAAAAACGTATACTCTGTTGCAAAAAAATGCACATTTTTGCAGTAAAAAAAACAATATTACCTATCATCAGACAGCTAATGCCGTTTCTTTCTTTATTGAGATTATTATCTCAAATAATACACCGCTTACTCTTTTTCGGTTTGCCCAATGGTTGACTGGTAAAGAACACTGTTCGGTGTTAAGTTCGCCATATGTAGACACATAGGTTCACTGTGCATTAAAGTTTAAATAAATATATTTATTTTTTTCAAAACATCGAAAATTACAGTGATATTTACGTAATTTTGTTACAGTTTTTCTACATTTAAAATTTTAGTTTTGTTTGGCATTTTTATGATTGCATTGCGTTTAAAAGACATATGTGCTCATTTTTGCAATGGTTTATATTTTATGCTCTAAGTATACGCAGTAATCATAGACTTAGCTTGCAAATACTATCAAATGCTCTTAGTAATTCTAGAACGTTGAATCACAACATTAATCCGTCTATACACACTGACTAAGAAAAAAACCCTATTAATATTGGTTTAAGCACAAAAAATAAATAAAATTAGTGGAATTTTGAAGGAAAACAAAATGTCAATTTGTATAGACACATTCACTTACATTGACGACTTAATTCTATAGATCGTGTAGATCTTTCTTGCGCAGGACCTCGACGGGGAGCGCCAGCTCGGGGGAGGCACCGGCTCCCTCTCCCAGTCCATCAGGGGCAAGCCATTCCGACAAGGATCAAGACCCTCAGGTAAACTTTTCCCTGTACAAAAGTCCCTTTGTCATTTTTCGAACTATAATTCTCTGGGCAATATATTTACTGGTATCACTGGTAGCAACCCAATGATGATGTCCAATTTATTTCGCTCCGTATTTTTTTAAGTTATCACCGCCATTGTATTTTTAACCTAAATTTAATAATTTTCTCATCACACCTATTATATTTATAGGAAAAGATCGAGAAATTAGAAGAAGACAAAAAACGCCGTCTGCAACTTTACGTATTTGTGTCACGCTGTATCGCCCATCCATTCAACGCGAAGCAACCAACCGACATGACCCGGCGCCACACAAAGCTGACCCCACATCAGCTGGAGACTATACAAGCTCGGTTTCAGGTAAATTCTGCATATTTCCTTAAGTTATGCAAGTTATTCGCGGTCTACCTGAATACTTTAAATTCGAAGAATGTAGGAATGCTTTACTCGGCGTATACTACTGGCTACTGATGTTTTATAACTTTGAGTTGTTGCTTAGAATTTCTGAAGGTTGTTTGTTTATTATTTTTAATACATTAACATGGTGATTTAGCATGATGTATTTTAAATGATCATAAAACATCAGTACCAGTTTTATCAACGTAAGTTCACAATACATATATGTGTGTGTGTGCGTTGGCGCGTATGCGTGCGTGTGCGTGTGCGTGTGCGTGCATGCGTGAGTGTACGTGCGCGCTCGCACGTGTGTGTGTATATTTATGTCTCTGTGTGTGTCGATTACAAAAGTACTTGTAAACAAGTCTCTTTGAATAAAGATAATTTGAATTGTGGATACCGATCACTTATTTATGATTATTAGTTTTACGCCTTCATCCGCGTGACCAGGATACGTTAATATATATTCTAAAATACACATATATACATCTTACTTATTAATTTACCGAGGCAATATAACAGGAAACAACTAGTAGCATAGGCATACTTAGAAGGGGGGAGGGGGGGGTTAGACTGCCTATCCTAGGATTGTCTAGTGCCTACCCCATAATGCAAGCGAACCTTTCAATTATGTACAAAGGACTATCTAAGACTACATGTACCTTTTTTCTAAGATACCAACCAATTACTAGTACAATAATTAAAAATCTTAAACACTGCACAGGCGTTCCTCAAAGGCGAGACACAAATCTTAGCTGACGAAGCATTCCAAAACGCCGTTCAGTCCTACCACGACGTGTTCCTTAAATCCGAAAGGGTGGAGCAAATGGTGAAGTCGGGGGCCTGTTCTCATCACGACTTCCGTGAGGTTTTCAGGAACAACATCGAGAAGAGAGTCAGGTTTGGGTTGTATTTTCTCCATAAGAAAATTTACACAAAACTCTGTCACTTTAACATCATGCATGAAAAGAAATATAAATTAAATCGACAGTAAGTTTTTCTATTGATATTTGGAACTTACCAAATGCATGGGTTTATGTTTCATTCGTGTTTCTACCATGTCGTTGTCTGAGTTAAGGAGTAACATGATAGTGAAATTGTAAGGTACGAACGGAACACCTTAATTCTCAAGAATATCCATGGTATGTTCCTGTCCACATTCCACTTGCCAACATGATCATCACCTTAGCCATTTCGAGTTGTATAAATAAATTGAAAATTCTACTATAACTGTATAATATTCACTTCTAAACAACTTTGTCTAGTATTTTAATGTAACAACGGTTTAACTTAAATGTACTTAGATCGAAAAATTTTATCAAATCATATATAACTGTGACGCGAATACGAACCTGACAGTCAGTTAGGCTCGTGCTCGCGTCACAGTCACTCATGACTAAAGATTGATTGACACGAATTGATTCCGAAACTAGTTTAGCTTTTTCGATCTAATTACGAAACGCTTACGAAAATTTTAAAAATAACCTTTACCTAGTTATTATCATCATATATCATATGTGTATGATAAAGTTCTTTATTTAAAAAAAAAAAATCCACTTTCCTTTTCATCACATTGTACTGTTGTTATCAACTTCATCATATCAGCCCTTAACCGTCCACTACTGAACATAAGCCCCTCCCTTGGAGGGTTTTGCAAGTAGTTGCCACGCTTGGCAGGCAGATTTGCAACCGCAGTCAAGCTTCAGAAATATTTTAGAAGGAACGTTACTGCGCATCCCTCGCCGTCCCTTAGTCGTCTTTTACGACACCGACGAGAAAGGAAGGGGTGACCTATTCTATGCCGGGACCACAAGACCAAATTTTTGTATATTAGCACATTCAGACAGATGTTCAGTGTCATAATTTGACGTCTCTTCATTATAGTATTCTGTTATGTTTAAATCTTGATTTGATCAGTTATTGTCCAACACATTCAAATTATTTAATTCCTCAAACACAAAGTCAGGGTAATATCCAATATTTCTAAAATGTTTCGCATTATTAAAGCCATCTACAGGCCAATTTTTAATTAAACAAATTTGATATTTATTATTAATATGTAGATTAAAATCGCAATTCTTAACATTTCTTTATAAAAATACACTACTTTCCTAAAGCACCATGAGTCAAAAAATTATGAACTTTCTATGATCACACATCGTGTTATTAGCATGGAAAATTTTAAATTTTCACCTTTCAGTGATAGAGTACTCGCTTAAAAGGAGGCTAATAACCTCTGTATGCTAATCAAATAACTTTGCAGGTCTTTACCAGAGATAGATGGATTAAGTAAAGAGACCGTGCTTACATCTTGGCTCGCTAAATTTGATTGCATTATGAAAGGAACCGGTAAGTGTGTTTTATTATTAATTACTATTTACGAGCTGAGGCTATATTTGAGACTAGCAATTATATGTCAATTAAGTTCTGTAAATAGTTCTCTAATACCAATTAAAAAGTAATTTGATACCATTCTATATTTAGGTCTACGTAGATATTTTTGAAGTATCTAAAATTTTGTCTTTCGAATGAAACTCTATAACGCTGTTAATAGAAAACGTAATAAATATATCTTTACTTTAGTATTATTTTCCAAAGATTTATATATAGTTCAACTAATCTCAAGTACAGCTAAACTCAAAACTAATATTCCAGAACAGAGTCAAGCATGTGCCAATGTGTGTGAAGCATCAGTATTAAAAAAAAGCTTGAGTTTTGCAAGCCTTTGAATGTTTGTAACGAACAGAATCAGTGTGCTCATTGGTAGTATATGTCATTATATGTGAAACGTCATTTACTGTACATGAAACTCTTACAGAACGAATGTACATAAACAATCCATTCAAACTATTGTTATTATTATTATATATTATTGTTAAACAATTCCACACAAAAAAGCCTATGTATAATTTTGCAAGATTATTAACAAAGGATTTGTAATAACAAATAATATAGAGTAAAATTGAAATCATTAGCAGTTTTTGAAGAGAGTTTTCTATTAATGAAACAGAACATTTTCACAATAGAAACAGGAATCGAAAGACGACAAAAAATTTGAGTCTCTTATACCAGGAGGTTCAAAATTTACTGTAATATTTCAATTTTTAATTCATAAATTTTCTAACCTAAAATATTCTACAGCATTGGTGGATTCTTAATTTTGCGTACTGTTAACGATTTCAATTCCATTCTGTAAACAATTTTTGATAAAAAGAAATAAGATCAAGAAACATTGCCGGCATTATGTTCATATTAATTCGCTATATATTAAGCAAATTAATAAAGTTATAGGTAGATAGTAAAATAGATTCTAAAACAGAGGTATTAATCCTTCAGCCCAATATGTTGTTTTAGGATTATTTATAATATTTACAAATTATTTTAAAATTTTAAGCATTTTTAAATTGGCATTCTTTATTTGTGTTGTATTTAAACTGTAATGATATTTATTTTACCTAATTACGTAATTAACTATTCGATCTTAACTAAGAAAAATTATATATATATATATATATATATATATATATATATATATATATATATATATATATATATATATATATATATATATATATATATATATCATATATCTACCTAAAGAATTAAATAAATGCAATATACTTAGTTTTAATCACAATATCATATTTAAAAAAAAAATTTCGTGTCAAAATTTATTCAATAATAATACATACAGAAATAATAAATAAACTTTAAGATACTTTATTTTATATTCTTACCTTAAAGCGTAAAATGGAAAAGTAACAACCTAAAAATGGTACAAATAAACGTTTAAAAAAAGAACTTGAAATCCTACAACAAACTAATAAAGCCTATATTCTAAGAATGATAAGGAAGAGAGTAGATTGTTCCAATGTTGTCAACTACGGCAAGCTGCACTTGCTCAGTAGTAAAGTGTGTGCTTTAATTACACCTTAAAATAAATCCTAATAACAAAATAATAATAAACTTATTAATAACGATTGTGGATTTATAGTAACAATAATAAGAAAAATAAAACATAATTAAAACATAACAGCGATTGCTATAGGCTATGATGAAGACCATGCAAGTTTGTGTAGTATTCCACGATTCCCGATTTCATGTAACATGTACTGAAAATGTGTGTCGCCTGCGTCTGTCTCACTGTCTGTGTTTCTTTCCCTCTCTTTCACAACATGTCTCTCTCACACATCCCGAACAGGAATAACAGGTATCACTCGACAACTGTTCATTGTTTGTTCCTAAATTTTCATAATTAGCTTCTGTTTTGTGCTGTTGCTCGTTTTGTATTGATGTTTGTTCTAAAAATGGGTCCGAGATGATCACGCAGTTTGAAGCAAGTACGTAAAGTTTGCAGCTTCCAAAGTCTACTTAATATATACAACAAGCTTCTTGAGACATTAATTTTTTTACTTTTCTTCTGCAAATTTTGGGTTCAGAAATTTCAATGGATCTGTTATTTTAGATATTACCAACAAAGAAGAAATATCGTAACAAAAGACATGGTATCTGCAAGATAAATTCCAGCATCAAGTATAAACATTTTAAACAATCGATCATACTTATTTCAAATTGAAGTGTACGTACTTGATTCAATCTGTAGATCGTCTCAGGTCTTTTCAACACAAGGTGCTCGTGTCTGTTTCAATTACTTACTTAATCCCCACTCGATTTAATAAACTCATAATTTTCAACATAATTATAAATTTTGAATAATAATAATCATTGATTTTGCATCTATTTAAAACACAATCCATATTGTCCCTTCTAATAAATATTCTTGATGTTCCCTATTATTATTCTAATGGAAATTTTGCTGATCGTTTAATTTACAATCTCAATTATTCAAGCATCAATAATGTTTATTGTATAATTTAAACTTTTCATTACACTATTCGATTGACAATTTTGAATTTTACAATAAAACACTTTATTTTTCTTTTTTACTGAAATAAATCTCAAGCACACAAAGGTAAGTTGACAATTTTTTATCATTAAATCTATGTAGCATTTGTACCGCATGCATGACGACTCTACTATTATTTTTACAAACAATTATAATTTCACCATTCTTATTAAATATAATGACTTGGTTTTGTAAAATTTTAGAAACTACAGGTACTTTTATTATTACATTTTATTATTATTTTTAATTATTATTATTATTCTTTAAATTTAATTTATTGCTGTACTTACTCATTATTCCTAACATATATTTTTATTATATAATACAAAATTTTGTATAAAGCTTTTATTATTTTATATATTTGTAAGAAATACAGTAATAATTTCACTTGAATTAGCAAAAAAGTCAAATTGTAGGTAGACGTAAAGTAGCTAATTATATCCATTCCTCTTATTAACTCTAATCACCATGCGTTTAATAATGTAAATAGATATTTGTTTTTAAAAATAACGTAACATAATACTAAAATGCTTTAAACCACATTCAGGTCTATTATAACCTCCAGACATCAACATACATAACAAAAAAAAAAACGAGAAAAAAAGAAGAAAACAGTGTAATTTGTGCAAAAATTAAACAATAATGTTTTCTCAGGCATTCCCGGAGACGACGAATCGAAAAGGCCGTCAAGAGCTCAACAGCAAAGTCTTAACGCTGAGTGCATACTCAGCAAGGAGCAGTTATATGACATGTTTCAACAGATCTTGGGGGTCAAGAAGTTCGAACATCAATTACTTTTCAATGCCCTTCTCGTAAGTTTAGTTCGAAATTTTACTCCATCTATATTACACATAGCTTTTCTGTTATAAATTAAAATTAAAAATATGTTAATAAAGTGTTTAAATAATACTTTCATCAAGAGGAGACTTTGTACAAAAGTCGTTTGCTTAAGCACCTCTGTCACATTCGTGTTTCTGCCGCAAAGTAGTTGTGTTTGCATGGCTGTGTTTCGATTTAAAGGGTGGGATGTGGCAGTGAATTTACAGGGTACAGAGGAATAACACCTGAGTTCTCAAGAATTGCAACGCATGGGGGGTATCATGGGCGAAACAGTATAATCTGTTATGTCAAAAGCAAAACTGTAATCGCAGTTTTGCTTTTGGTAATGTTTTAAGATGGACACTGTTGCTCATACCTCCACTATAAGCTCCCTTAGTTGCTTTTTACGACACCTCGTGGGAAAGGAAGGGGTGACTTATTCTATGCCGGGACCTCCACAGTATTATGTGTACATATGTGACATATGTATTTATAATTTATCGTCAAGTTTATACATTATTTGTATCTGATTTTGCAGTTGGATTCAGCGGATGAACAAGCAGCGGCAATTAGAAGAGAACTAGACGGAAGAATGCAAAAAGTCAATGAGATGGAGAGGGTAAACAAAATTAATCTTTTAATATAAAAGAATTATTTTAAATAATTAAATAAGTATTTGATACCTATATCTTAATGAAGTTAATGAAGTAAAGTAACAAATATGTAGATATCAAATTTGGTGAAGTTTCCATCTCTGTATATCCCGAATAAATTGAATTGATTTGATTCAATATGTATTTAAATTTTTTTAATAAACATACAAAACATTTTAAACAGAACCGCAAGCTAATGCCCAAGTTTGTACTGAAAGAAATGGAATCCCTCTACATCGAAGAATTGAAATCGTCGATCAACCTTCTGATGGCCAACCTTGAGTCTCTGCCTGTCTCCAAAGGCGGAGCCGACTCTAAATATGGCCTACATAAAATCAAGCGGTATAATCACAGGTCAGTACCATAACCATCGAGTTTCAAAACGGTTATAGAGTAAGCAGAAACAATATACATGGCAGATACAATACGACAAAAAAGTAAACAATCGTAAAGTTTATAAATATATAGTTGCATAAATGAAACAGGGATGGGCAGCAATGGCCCTCTTAAAACATCTCTAAAGCCTGACTGCGGTTACCAATCCATCTGCCAAGCGTGGCAGCTATTAGCAAAACCCCCCAAGGGGGAGAATTATGTTCAGCAGTGGACAGTTAAAAGCTGATATGATGATGATGGTAAATTAAACTGTATTTTTTCTTATACGACCTACTTCTGCATAGATATGCAAATATTAAGAAAAATGTTGCCACTTAAAATATGAAATTTTCAAATAATTTAAAAATTTTAAGTAAATTTACAAGCGACTTCATTCATTTATAATTATAATTGTTTTAGGTTAATATTTGATAAACATGATTGAGGTAAAAAATGGTCCTTAAACAAAATATTTTTGTACCCGCATTTACTTCGTATATTAAATGAGTCGAATTTGAAGTCGTATTGAAATCTGCCACCGATATAAATTATTATTGTCTATCTATATTTTGGTCATCATATAAATGGTCTTTTTCAAATAGATACTACTTTTATAAATAAATTATTATATTATTGTATGGATATTATGTTAAAGCTTATCTGTTTGGAAATGACACTCATTGTTAGTTATAACATCGTATATATAAATTTTGTATATTATATATGCATAATATGTGTGTGGCTTGGTGATGTTTTATATGTGGAAGAGAAAATTGTATCAAATTTTGTGTGTTATAGATATAAAATGAACATAATAAATCAAAATGTCTACCTAATAATTAAAAATACATCAATTAAATGTGATGCTAATGTTTTAAAAATGTAATTCAGTGTTGTTTGTTATAATAAAAGAGTGACTGTATTTAGTAAAAGTGGTTGATTTATAAAAACAAAAAATACGATTTAAAAGTGCAAACATGTATGTTTGAATAAAGATGACTTGAATTTGAATTCGAAGAGTAATATAGATAGACTAGCTGACCCCGTAAACGTTGTTTTACCACTTATTGCGAAATATAAAAATCGCGATTAAAAGACAGGGGTTGATCGTAAAACGATAAAAATTTAAAGTTGAGTGTATTTTTCAATGTTAAATCATAATAAAAAAAAATGGAAAAATTTATTAAAAAAATAAAAAAAAAAATTTTTGGGGAGAGTCACCCTTATCATTGAGGGGTATGAAAAATAGATGTTGGCTGATTCTCAGACATACCCAATATGCACACAAAATTTCATAAAAATCGGTAAAGCCGTTTCGGAGGAGTTTGGTAACAAACACCGTGACACGAGAATTTTATATATAAGATAGATAAATACTCTTTATTGTTTCCTCCGTAAGATTACAATAGTAAACTTATTATAAATACAAACAATTATAAGAAAAACATTACACTAAGAAAACAATAGGCGGCCTTATCGCTAAGAGCGATCTCTACCAGTTTATTATTCAGTTTTTAACAGGACCAAAAATTTTATGATTATAAAATTAATTATTTTTTTCGATTTCCTCCATTACCTTGTTTACTAAATACAGTCAATATTTGGTGTACCATTAATATTAAATGTGTTCAGTGTTAAAGTTGAAATTAGCTGTTGGCATGACCTAATTAAAAACATAATAAAACAATCTGATGGTATCTACACATATATAATAAATAATTTCATTATTAAAACATTTCTTTTAATAAATACGTCATGCTAACGGCAGTTCGACTTTTGCAATATTTATATTTTTAAAAGAATACATCATAACAACAATAATTTAAGACATTGCTCATAAAAAATCAACCATGATAAAATTTATGTGGACTCAGTAGTAACTAACCTTATCTTTTGCAAAAACAATTATCAAAATCGGTTTGAAATTACAGATAATATATCCCAATGGTATATTATGCTACGAATTAAAACATTTCATTCAAAAAGGGGAGTTATTGGAAATCAATTAAAAGTAAAAAGAACATAAATATGCGAAAACTAATTCTAATTTAACTATGATGTTTTCTTTTAAATTTCCTACTATATGCATTATGTGTGAAAAAAAAATTATTAATGAATATATATAATTAAGTAATCCATATCCGACCTTTCTCTCTGTTTAAATCTCTTGTCTTTGTCGCACTTTGTAGGTTTGTTTTTCTATAGAACTTTATTGGTCTGGATGTAGCGTCGATACTATTTCTGCATCAATTATTTCATATGTAAATTGTATGACATCTTTTCAATCATGTTTTTTTAAATTATCAACAGGTTAATTGTATATGATGTTAGTTTCAGATAGACGATCATCCAGATCCACTGTCATTTATACTTGTTCATTTCCCATTTTATTTCTTTCTGTCCCTGGCACATAACTGGACGGTAATGAAGGAAGTACAAGTAATGAGTACAGAATTGTTAATTTGCGCACGTGTCTTGTTTAGCAGGACCCCAGCCCACCTACCTGGCCTGAAACTACCTATTTGGATCCTAATGTTGTCATAGTCTAGACCTTAGTAGAACTTACAGTTAAAGTAAAATTAGTACATAGACAGAACCTTGTAATTGTAGAACATGCATTAGTTATTTTTGATTTCATTATCATAACAAGTATCGTAATAAAAACCATAGTAAAAGGAGAACATGACAACAAAGGATAAATCGAGGCTTTCTTTACACTGCCAAATTTAAGCTTACTCTAGTAGTTAATGATTAGGTGATTATAGATTTTTAAGCTAAAGTAACACTTAAGATAGCTAGCATAAAATAGAATTCAGAATGTAGTTAAACAGCGTATCCAACAATTTTGTATTTTTATAATACATTTTAAATTTAAAGCTTAATCAGTTTTATAAAAGCTTTAGATAAGAAATCACGCCTTAACTCACTTTTTGTATTATTTCTCTTTCCTTTCTAATCACATTTTCTTTATTTTTGGCATTAATCTAAGTATAATATAATGAATTGTAATATAAATCGCTTTAAGCTTCAATAGGGCTTAATAACTTTAATATTTAAATTTACACATGACGCTATAATCACTTATTTTTAACGTATAAGACACAATTTCATAAGCATCGTCTAATACGTTTCAAATACCTATTTATTTATATATTAATCATTCATCACCCTTATCTAATCTAATCACAGTACCAACACCATAGATAATAAAGTCCAGACTTACCTAGACGTTAGAATGTGCAAAGAAATTTTGAAAAATAATAAAAAAATAGAATCAGAACTACGTCTAGGTGTGTCTTCTTTAGTTAGCGTTTTCGTAGCAGACATTTTGTAATCTTTCCCTTTTGTTATGCTTAATCATTCTTGGTATCGGTGATGGTCCCATATTGTCTACCACCATGCATTGTATCCAATGGGTTTGTGAATGCTTCTCCAAAATTAATCTCCTTTGAAATATCATCTAATTTATCCCCTTTCAATATATCATTAAATAACACTATTACCTTATTGTGTGCGTTAAATTTTTTTATACATTATTCCATAACAACAATGCTATCAAATATGGGAAGTGTTTTTGTTCAATTTGCGTCTTTAACAATTGTTTCTTCTTATGGGTTATTTGTAACTGTAATGTCAAATGTTGGTGGTGGTTTTGTTTGGGTGGGTTCTGATAGATCGAATGCGGGACCTGATCCAGCGCCAAGGCTGAGTAAGCAGCTGTGTTTCAGATCGCAAGGGTCACTCGCCAACAAGTTGACCGGTGAAGGTGATGGCGGGGACGTCGATACTCAGCTTACGAAAATGGATGTTGTGTTAACATTCCAAATAGAGGTAACGTTTGTAATTGATTATGAAATTACAAGAGAAGAGATAATATTATCTAATGATATTAATAAATATAAATAAATAAATAAAATTGCCAATAATAAATATTAGATATTTGTAATTGATGCTATGGAACTATTTAAAAATATATTGCAAATTTCGAAAATTTTAAATTTATTTAATGTAAGTGACTATTACATATCTTGAGTGTTAAATGATACATATACCTTATACAGCTTTGAAAGTGCATCGACTTATTTCTTAACTAGCTGCATTCCGCAGCTCCACTCGCGCAAATCACTACATAATGTATCCTTGTGCTAAATTAGGATATAACCTACTAGTGTAGCAAATTTCATTCAAACCTGTTTACATTTACATGAAATAGTAATAAATATCTAACCATAATTACAAGCTTTTGCTTTTATAATAATAATTGGATAATACTGATATCATAAATAACTCTTAAAGATAAATATGAATAAGGTTTTTTTTTTATTAAAACAACGTCTTTTTTAAATTAATAAAAGTAAATAAAAATATTTAAAAGATGACCCTTTATTATTACGTAAATCATTGCATAATCTATTAAGGAATATAATAAATGTGAAAGAGAGTTTGATTGTTTGTTTGTTATCTCTTAACGCTTTAACGTTTAGCCAATCACTATGAAATTTTATATGGAAAAATAGCTAACTATGTCTTATCTCAGTTTGCGTATCACGCGAATGAAGTCGCGAGTAAAAGCTAGTAATTTATCATTTCTTATACACTAATATGCGTTTAGTGTTACACTCACTGTAGCCTATTTAAGGCTACAGTGACCGTTTACAATCTCATCAAACGGGCTGTATGCTTCTTTGCCAACTTCGTGGTATTAAAAAAAAAACATTAAAATCTCAATTAATAATACTAGTTGTCTTTATTTTTATAAGAATTTGATATTGGAATTAAAAGAATTTCATGAAATTTATTATTGAAATTATACCTAAGCATCGTTCGTATTTTAAATAAATTAATAAATAAATTCTAGGTTGTCGTCATGGAAGTCAAAGGTCTAAAGTCGTTAGCGCCAAATCGGATAGTGTACTGTACCATGGAAGTCGAAGGAGGGGATAAACTACAGACTGACCAGGCCGAAGCGTCAAAACCCATGTAAGTTATCACAGTTGCACCAGATATAAATAGATACTTTTTTTTTTAATAGATGACAATGTAATAGTCACCTTGCCTACGCTATCAGTATATACTGGCAGGGCACCACTGAGAGATGATTGGTGAGGATGAAAAGGCAGGTTAGTTAGCCCATCGTGACGAATTCAACGATAATTATTAATAAAGATAGTTTCCAAGGGTACCGCGTGGCGATTGACTTGATAGGGTATATAAATAGCAATGGTGACTAACCTACCCATTACTAACAATCCCTTTCCCCCCATAAGTAGACACTACGAGATGTTTTACAAGACGAAGCGTCTTGTCACGCCATGATGCTCGTTCACGTACAATACCTTTAAATGTTTGAGGACTCGGTCGTACCGCGCAGTGTCTGTATGTGCACGAATATATCTGGCATTAGATTATAGATTCCTCATCAGATCAACTGTTAAGTGTCCACTGCTGAAGGTGGGCCTTTTTCTTTGTGTTCCTTTGAGTTCCCTTAGTCGCTTTTTACGACACCCACGGGAAAGGAAGGAGTGACCCATTCTATCCACAAAAAAACCGTTTTTTTAAAAACGATTTAGTCGGTAGTCTCTTAATTAATTAAATTAAATAAATTTAATTAATATCTCAATGGAAATATGAAGGGTTAAAAAATAAAATGTATCGAGATAATTAAAATATCCCAAAAAGCTTGTAACATACCATTAACTAGGCTCGAGAGGTCGTCTAATTATGCGGTTGTGTATAAAATTCTCGTTACCTTGATAGTAAATACTCGTGGGCAACTTGCAATTTACTTTTACTACTGAATCTAGAATAGTTTTACAGTAATAGTGCGTGATAAAGCTGACCGCTTTAATTTTCCAACCCTAAAATACTAAACAAGTTCCTATAAAATTAAGTGTACATTACATATAGTTTTACTCACTACAGTAGTGTGTAAAATTAATACTTTTTTTTTATATATATATATAACTTTGAATGGCAAACAAGCTGACGGCCCACCTGATGGAAAGTGGAAACCGTCGCCTATAGACATAAGCAGTACCATGGACATAACAGAGTATACTGTTTCGCCCATGATACCCCCCATGCGTTGCCATTCCTGAGGACTCAGGTGTTATTCCTCTGTACCCAGTAAATTCACGCCATATCCCACCTTTCAAACCTAAACACAGCCATGCAAACACAACTGCTTCACGATTGAAACACGAATGAGACAGAGGTACCCAAGCAATCGACTTTTGTACAAAGTCTCCCTCCGGTACGTATACATACGTATTTTGAACAATGCGGATTTTTGTTTCTGCTTCACAAAAAACTTTGGGAGTATTACGAATATAAAATGAAGTCGAATTCATTTGATCACTTAACACGGCACGTCCAAATGTTAAGTTAGTATGAAAAGCTTAACATTTTCCTTTTTTGACACATAATTAATTGGGAAAAAATGACAGTTTTTTTAGTAGAATACTACTTTACAAGGATGCTAATGATTTCTGTTTCACATCACTATTGTTCTGTAACATCTGAATTACTACATGATACCAAGTAAGTATTGAATCATTAGGTACCATGAGCTTCTGGTGAAGTTCAAATGGGATTCCAGGAACCCGAACATTATGCACCTTATCGTGCGTTTCTTAGTGGGTATAAACCCCAAATTTACAAAAAACCCCACATACATTTTGCCCACTCTCAGGCAGATGAGACGGTCTTTATAAAGATTTTTGCACGTTAAACAAAGAGAGATGTACCGTGTATATTTTCATCTCAAACTCGAGTTACTAAACGTCATCGTTATCATTATTATGTCAGCCATTAGCTATCTACTGCTAAACATAAGCATCCTCCATAAGAAGGGTTTTAATTAATTGCCATTCTTACCAATCCGGTAACCACAGTTAGGATTTAGTATATTTTAAAAAAACGGTGCTACGACACCCACGGGAAAAATAGAGATGACCCATTATATGACTGGACTACACGGCGAGTTGCTAATACTATTATAATTTAATAACAGGTGGGACACACAAGGCGATTTCAGCACAACACAACCTCTGCCGGCAGTCAAAGTTAAATTGTACACAGAGAATCCTGGCGTCCTGGCTTTAGAGGATAAGGAGCTTGGCAAAGTGGTTTTGAGGCCCACACCACTTTCGAGTAAGGTCAGTATTCATATAACCAGTTAGAACAACTACCTAAGTCTCTCAAAAAAAAGCTGGAGGAACACGAGTACCATTGATCTTTAACTTTACATCTATTTGTTTATTCTCTCATATATCTACTTCGAAAGCACTCAATTTCTCTTTCAAATATACATTATAAAATAATTGAAATTTTACGTAGAGCCTTAATCTAGACTTACCTGCAACGATGCTATGTACCAGATAGACTATGATAGATTTAACAGAAAGACATTTGTAATTTCGTTTTTTTAGTTAAAAACTCATGGTGTCATGTATTATAGTATAGAGAGGTCAAGGATATGGCCTGAAATAGAACTGGCTGGAAGAAGATGCATGAATTAGTTGCACTGACTAGAGGAAACTCTTAAACGAAAAGATGTTAAAATCTCTTCTAAATTAAAGCTATTATATACCGAATGTGATGATATTTTGTTCAGTAATCACAATCTCAAGAGTACTTTATAACATAACAGAAGGGGTCATTAGACTTTTAAAATAAATAGATAAACAGATACTTTTATTCGTGTTTACAGGCTCCCGAATGGCACCGAATGACAGTACCCAAAAACTTGCCAGACCAAGATCTCAGGATCAAAATTGCATGTCGTATGGATAAACCGCTCAATATGAAACATTGTGGGTGAGTTGGATGACATCATCAAGATTATTAGATAAATAGATATTCTTTATAATTCCCATTAAAATATTACATTAGCAAAACTTAGTAAAATTACGAAAAATTAATTAAAAAAAAATATCACTGAGAAAACAATGAACGGCCTTATCATCGCTAAAAACGAACTCTTCCAGGCAGCTTTTGGATGTAAAGGAGTTTATTTTAAACAGTTACTGCATTTACGTCTTCTTATTTTACGCGGTGACTATGTTTTGTATTACCAAACTCTTTAACATCCATACAATCAAATAGAAGTATATGACTTAAGTATTAAAACAATTGATACAAAAAATAAAACTAATTACACTATGAATAATATTTTTATTTGTAAATATAGCTGTGAAAAACTTATTTTTTGTAAATAACGGATGTAATCCGTTACAGTCACGGCACTCTTGCAAACGCCTTCTGAAATTGTCGATGACTGATATATATACTCTGCGGATCTTTTAGGTCATTAATTGACCACGCGGTTCGACATTGTAAACAATCATAATCCATTGGAGGGCTACGTGGTGGCCAGGAAAGGGAGATTGTTAAAAAGTTGACGGATAACGGATAGCAAAAATCCCATTGTTGAAACCATATACCCATTAAAGCTAGAAAGTTTTGCAATTTTTGTGTGAAAAACTCTCGATCATGTGGTTCTGCCCCCTGTAAGAATGCCACTGTAACTCATGGCTATTTAATTCTGGTGCTTAAGTTTTGGATTAATCGAATAGCGGCAATTTTGTTTACTAACATGTCCGTTAATGTGGAAGTGTGCCTCATCAGAGAACATTATGTTATTGAACGAAGTAAACCGATTAAACATTTCATTAGCATAATTCACTCTCTGGATAGCATCAGTTTCTTTTAATTCTTGCACCAACTGAATTTTGTAAGGGTGCATAAGTAAATCTTTCTTCAAAATCCGTTGTAACGATGTCCTGGATACGTTTAATGCACTGGAACGCTTACGAGTTGACTGTGTAGGATTTTCACGAATAGATTGTGCCACTGTATCGATGTTTTGTTCCGTACGTGATATCCTTGGTCGCTCCCGAACCAGCAACCCATCTAACGTCGAACCGAGCTCGAACTTAGCAACCCAATTCTTAATCGTTTGGAGAGCTGGGGTGTCATCAAAGTTGTGTAAACCTTTGTGTTCTCGAAATTTCCGCCTCGCAACGGTTGCCGAATTGTTGTTTTGATAAAACTCGCGCACACAAAACGCACGGTCCGCTCCGGTGAAACGCTCCATCGCGACTAAATTCTCAGAAACCGAAGTTACTGCCCACGCTTCCCCTGCACCGCTCACGCGCGCCGTTTTCGTTTAATTCAAATTTTACTTTTCAAAGGACTTTTGGGCCACCCTGTATATACACTATCAAGTCGATCTGCACGCGGTTCGACATTGTAAACAATCATAATTGGAGGGAAAGGGATTGTTAGTAATGGAGACTAAAAATCCCATTGCTAGTAATATACCAAACTAGGTTTATCTCTTCGTGGTTCCCCCTGGAAACTATCATGGTTAATTCCTGGTGAATTCATCATGATGGCTAACTGGCCTGTTTTCGTTCTCATCTATCACCCTTCACTGGTGCTCCGCCAGCGTATCCCATTAGCGCAGGCGGGGTTACCATTCCATTTTCATCCACCAAAAAAACCCATCATAATTAATTCTTCTTGAACTCATCACGTTGGGCCAATTGATGGAATTTCATCCTCATCAATAATCACTCACTGGTGCCCCACCAACGTATACCGACAGCACTGATCAAGTTACTATTCCATTTGAATCCTATAGATACCAATTCTTATTATATTATTATTGTTTCTAGCTATCTCCACGTAATCGGCAAGAATGTATGGCGTAAATGGAAGCGTCGATACATGGTACTTGTACAAGTGAGCCAGTATACATTCGCTCTATGCTCGTACAAAGACAAGAAGTCGGAACCGGCCGAGATGATGCAGCTGGACGGATTCACTGTGGACTACATTGAGCTTGCTAGCGGTCAGTTTCATTGAGTTAATTTTATTTCTTTCCTTTTTTAACACTAAACCTACCAAACGCGCTCAAATGACCGTTTTTGAAATTTAGTTTAAAAATGTTCATTAACGTTACTGTATCACCATGTAACTTATTGACTTTTCCTATAATATATATACAACCCATTTTTTTTAATATTTACATTAGTATTATTTACTTGTTTACTATCCAATTGGCTAAAATCTCTTACTATATTAAGATACATATTTTATTTCAAAGCGGTCATTTCACCGTTCATTGTATTAGGTATATATGAAATGTTGGTAGGTTTAGTGTTAATTCTTCCAGCTATTGTTACATCGATACAGTTTAAATTGTAGAGAGCAACTTCTTGGTGTTATAACTGCCATATGTATGCATATATGTGTACAGTGCATTAAAGTTTAAATATATAAATATTAATATTAAAACTTCTAGTACTACTTACATAGGTACATTGTATGTCCCAATATACTGTATGTGTGTATAAATTAACTGCATTCCTCTTTTTTATATTAGGATAAAAATATAATAACAATACAGTTTTAGATTACAATAAACAATTGCTTTATACAAAATTTGGTTATTATAACAGTGAATGTTTTCTTGTATAAATTCGAAGTATTCTATCGAAGTACCTATCTGAATTGTTTTTTCTTTTAATATTATAATATGTTTTTTTTTACAGCCCAGCTAATCGTTGGACAAGGTAAATCAGATTACTTATCTACTCATTTCATCACTGCTATTTTAACGCCAAGTCCCTTGTAGAGTAAGCAGGAAAATGAAGTACCAAAAGTTTCTGTCCTTAATTATATCTTATCTTCTTTATTACCTTATCTTTTGCATCATCCACTTTCATAACATCTCTCACATCAGTTCAAGAGATACTTTAAACTTTGCTCAGCATAGATAACAAATCTTGGCCTCTCCCTGATATTTGCATCCTTCTAATTTCGCATTGTATATTTCCACCAACTCACTTTCGTGCTATTGTCAAATAGGTTAGATAGACTACTTACTTCACAAATACTAAAACGCTTAGAATCATGCTACGCAATGAGACATTACCTAGTTCATATTATAATGTAAATAATAATGAAAGTAATAAATCTCTAATACAAGACAAAGTGTAAACAATAATACACCAAAATATGTTGACAGAGCTGGAAGGTGCAAAATACTTCATGAATGCGGTGCGCGATGGCGAATCCGTACTGATGGGAGTGACTGATGAGAATGAGTGCCATCTGTGGGTAATGGCGTTGTACAGAGCAACGGGACAGAGTCATAAACCTACACCACCAACCACATCCGACACCCACCATAAAATAATGGGAGGTTAGTTTATTGAAATTCACTAGGATAGTAACACGATGGTAGAATATTTTGATTTATTATTCTACTCCTGATAAGATGTAACAATCTACGATATTGTTTTTTTTTTTAAAAACCACAGAGATATAAGTTTTGACTGGTTTATTTAAAAAAATAATCATCACGAAATATTGTTTTACTATTATCAATAGCAAAAGTTAACTTAAGAAACCTACAGTTTGCCAGTTGGTAATCTTGCTAACTTGCCTAACAGCAGGAGATATAGAACCTGATTTAATGAAAATCCTCCTTTTTAAATAATATCTGGTGTTCTTCCCATAAAATCATTTAATTCGGAAATCGTAACTCGGTCGAGTAATTATAATAATTTAAAAGAGGTTAAATTTGACAAGTTTTGATGTTTGTAATATGAATAAATTCTGTTTCAAACTGTTTTGGGAAATCACTTTGTTTTACTTTTGAAAACACCAATAGTTCTATGATTTTATGGTCGCTCTAAAATATAAAAAAATCCCATGTCACGTCGCTCATTCATGTTAATCTCCAAAATCGTCCGACCGATTTTAATAAAGTTTTGTAAATGTGTAAGGGAATAAAACATCGTTTACCATATTAGTTAGTATTATAAAAATATATATTAGTGCTATATACTTTTTTCGATGTGAATGTTATATAGTTTAGTTTATATACACATACTGACGTTACAAAACCGATTATTGTCCTCTAGATGCAGACAAAGCTCGTAAACATGGCATGGAAGATTATATTCAAGCAGATCCATGCCAGTTTGATCATCATCTGCTGTTCTGCATGCTACAGTCACAAACGCTAAAATATCGCCTTCAAGATCCATATTGCTCATTGGTAAATATTTTACATTAATTTAATTATTTACATTCATTTTTATAAATATATTAACATGACTGATGAAATTCCACATCTTCTAAATAAACTGTAATCCTTCATTTATTACTCGTCCTATATTTTAATGGGATAAAATCCATAATCCCGTTTTCGTGCTCTCCTATATTATTTAAAATGTGCAAAATTTCTCTGGACCCACCAATTTAAGTTTTAATTTGTCATTAAATCTATACAAATTTTTTCTAAATTATTTATCTAAATATAAAATGACCAAGTACATAGTCTTGCTATTATGAAATCAGAGTTCAGAGATTACTGGATCATGACAAAATAAACAATGACACTTCGGATTTGGATTCTTTACAGCTTTACTTTTTAACGATTTTGGATTCCCAAAAACGTTAAAAAGTAAAGCTGTCTCATAAATTGAAGTGTAAATTTTAAAAAATCTAAGCTATTCAAAGGCTTTCGACTTTCCAAAAGTTAAGACGTTAATCTGTCATCACCAATAGCATATATAAACAGTATCCTTTTATTAACTTCATCTCATATTTCAGGGATGGTTTTCTCCTGGTCAAGTTTTCGTGCTAGACGAATATTGCGCTCGGTATGGTGTTCGAGGTTGCTATCGCCATCTCTGCTACCTTTCTGATCTTCTGGACGTCGCTGAAAGTGGACAGCAGACAGTGGATCCAACTTTAATGCATTACTCCTTCGCATTCTGTGCCAGCCACGTCCACGGCAACAGGTGAGTAAATAGTTATATTATTTGATTAAATATTAGTTATAAACAGAACAATTTACAAATAATTATTGAATGAGATGTTACTTTTACAAAAATCAAAGCAACTGTATTTATTAAATTAATGTTGTTTTGTTTAGACGCCTACTTTTGATGTTGGGTATCTATGCCCGAATCTAATAATATCTTTTTGTTAGAAACAAATTCCTAATTAATAAAATAATATGTAATCTTAAAAACTGCAAATAATTTACTGTTTGATGTAAAATGTCAATTTTAGAAACTAAATAAATGTTAAAATATGTGTACGCCCATATGTTTTAATTGTTGGAGCTAGCCAATGATGGTTGATTCTCTTTACACGTGGTTGGTAATCACGTGCATATTCCAGAATGAATTAAACAAAATAACATTAATGCTATAGCTAATACTTTAGATGTTAACCCACCACACTAAATGATATAAAAAAAATGAACTTATTAGTCAAATAATTTAACAAATATTACCCTTAACCTACATATGTTTAATTATTATTTATCAAGAATGAATTTATTCTTGAAGCTCCATGTCCAATGATACTTATTATTTACATTATATATCTTGGACGTTTAAATTCATTATCATCATTCATCGTACAAAGAGACAAATATCATATAACTTTAAGTTTGTTTGATGAATAAGAATTATCATCCAAGATTGTGCTTATTTAATATTTCAAAGCACTCAGTCATTTTATATCCCTCACTTATTTCATAAATACCAATGTTGAAACTGTACCTATGCATTAATTAGCATTAATTAGGTACGTATTGAATATTTATTATGTAAAAAATTAGACGTTTCTGTGTTAGACTTGGTGTTCTACAAGGAAGCATTTTGGGTCCCTTACTATTTTACAAAAATGTCAACTCTAATTCAATGTATACCTACTGTATAGATAACTAGAAATGTTACTATGTTTGATAAACTGCATATAATAATAATATATCAATACCAAACACATTTCAAAAGAATTTATAAAAACACCGAAAATAATATTCTATGTTCTAACGTTTTATCAAACATAGTTACAGACCCCAAGTTGTGTGAACACAAGCCACTGCCGCCTCACATCAGTGTAATGTTGCTTTCTATATACTACAATCTATTAGATTGCCCCTAAATCTAACTATAGTAGATTGTACTGCAGTGAGATATAGTTAAATGTTTGCTTTCTAACTCTGAGCCTGCTTACCTGACTAACATTTCTGTCTCCGGGCTTGTGAATTAAGCAGTTACTAATAATACATTGGCAATATCATGATATTTCAATGAAGCATCGATATGAATTGAAATTTTGATTTCAAAGTATACTTTTTTTTGGAAAATTCCAGTTAAATATAAAACACTATTGATTCAAAATTTAAAATAGGTATTATCAATTGATATCTTATTACATGTCGCCTAGTTCTAGTTAGTTTTAAAATTAATAGATAACAAACAATGAATAACTTTAACGATACTTACGATCTTCAATATCTATTAATTACCTACTGAATAATGAATTAGATATAATATAGGTAGGTGACAAAGTTAATATCAAATATAGCATAGTTTTAGTTAAAGTGCTGCTAATTTCACAGCCTATCCTAAATCCCGCTTGTGCCCTACTAGAGTAAGCTCCACGGTGGAAGTGGTTCACAGTACCGCGACGTTGCCTGGCAGGCCTGATGGGGTCGGCAGCATCACGGTCCAGGAGAAGGAGAAATTCGCCGAGATAAAGGAGAGACTGAAGACGTTACTGCAGCATCAAATAACGAACTTCAGATACGCGTTCCCGTTCGGACGTCCCGAAGGCGCTTTGAAGGTAGTAAATAATTTAAATATAGGTAGGTACGCTAAATAATCATTCGTATTAAAACTAGTAATCCGTCTACTAGCAAAAATAACATGTAGTTTCTTTAAATTTAAATTGACATAATGTTTATTTCTTTAAAGTTTATTCCTCTTTATATGCTACTGCAGACTCTAATGTCTTTATGGTCTAGTTGAATGTAATTTTACACAACACTCAGTAATAAACTTTCCATTAAAATTCACAAATTATCCAATACACTATTACTTTCAGGCTACTCTCTCACTCTTAGAACGAGTACTAATGAAGGATGTAGCAACGCCTGTCGCTCCAGAAGAAGTACGCGCAATGATACAAACGAGCTTGGAAAATGCTGCCTTGTTGAATTATACACAACTTAGTCAGAAAGCCAACATTGAAGGTTATAAATCTATAATACAATAACAATAATAATAATCCATGATTTAATTTAATATATTTATGTAATCATAAATATAAATAATTTATTTAAAAATAAGTTAGTGTATTTAAATATTGAAGATTGAAAAGATCTTAAAGCGATGACGACAATAAACCCAATACCAAATCATAATAATGTCATCGTATAAATTACAAAAAGTTTGTTAATGGTAAGAAATTAAAGCAAGAATACTATGTAGAGATTGTTAGGGAAGAAGCATCAAAAGTGGTTGAATGAAAGGTTTGTGTAGATCATTAAATATTTGCAAGCTTTAAACAAGTTTCATGTTTAACTATTTTAGAGGATCTACGAGGCGAAACCATGGTGACTCCAGCAAAAAAACTAGAGGACCTCATTCACTTAGCAGAACTGTGTGTTGATCTATTGCAGCAAAATGAAGAACATTATGCAGAGGTAATGGAGATAAATAAGTAGCGTGAAACGTTTACAGAAGTATAAAATGACTTATTTTGAAAAATAACAAAGTCATCATCATATGAGTGATTGAATATATAATCTCTATAAGTTGTATGTCTAAATCTGATGATGTTCATATTGTTATAATTCAAAATAGATATATGCATTAATATGTCTATATTATAATCCTAAATGTTGTATTTTCCGTTATGGTAAAACTTTTTATATAATACATAAAAGCAAAATTTCACATTCATCAGAACATAAAAATTTTTAGCTCAAATTACTTTTCTTTCAAAAAGTTTTACCAAAGACTGTCAGTGTTCACTGGAAAATAGCACCCTACTCTCCTGTCGCTATTAGTGTGGGAAATAATGAATCAGTATATATATTTTTGATTGCGATGAAAACAAAAACAGTTCAAAATAAAATAAATCTTTCAATAGTTGTAATTTTGTTATTATATCTTAATATTATTATTATTATTATTTTCATCGTAATCTTTACATTATATAGCGAACTTTTCCAAAATTATTTTGTTGTCTGATATTACCTTCACGATTCTTAGTCGTGTAATAAAAAATATTTTATAGAAACCTACAGAATATATTTATTTTCCTGAATACTTATATATTTTATGTCGCTTAGTCGTTAAGTGAATCGTTCTGATTCATTTCACGTCACTGGATGTACGCCAAGTACTTTGTATAACTTCTTATATTCCACCTCTATCTTATTTTTTATTTCTCCGCAGGTTTATAACACAAAACCGGATTCTAGCGGTCAACAAAATGTAACTACTTAATAATTTGATTGATTGCTCGGCTGATCAAATCACTTGTCAATTGTATTCACTCGATTTTGATCATTCTTCACTCTGATTGGTTTGATCACAAATTTTTGGCAGGAGTAGACCCAAGTTCTCTTAATAGAAAACACTTGCTTGGGCAATTGCTTAGCTATTTAATAAATAGACTTGAAATTTTCAAATGCATGTATTTCAATCAAGAATAGAAGATTTTATTCTAATCTACCATACCGGTTATCAAAATTCTTATAATGGGTCCCAAAAATAAAATTGATCATATATCGTTCTCGTGATTATTAAAATTGGCGGGACTTTCATTTGTTAAATTCGAAACTACATATACGCCTGAATCTACTCCGTCTTACCATTCTACTCCAGCATTAAATTCATACAATATTAAATACAGAACAAGTATATTTTAGTAAATAATCAAAACAAAACATCAAGCACTTGATAGGAAATTATTGCTTCTGTAGAATGCTCTTTATCTCTTATTGACTATATGCTTGCACTATATCTTGAAACATTACATTACTATTCAATATAAATCACACTTATAACATCATACACTTAAGTACCTATTTTTTATATCGCTTTGTCAGTCGCATACAAAATTACAGTAGATAGAAAGGCTTCATCTTGTATTTTAAGGAGATATGCATGAATATTCTTATTAAATTTTGTTTATTCAAGTATTTAATGTAAAAATTATAATTTTATTTATAACTCCTCCAACAGTTTTAAATTTATTTAGGTAGTAGATATTGCTTAAGTAAAACCGAATGTTTTGATGGTTTTAGCTCCTTTATATGTATTATAATAAATAACTCGGATTGAATATACTTTACCTAAACGTCAATGGCACTTTGATGATATGTTTAAATATTTGACATTTAAAATACTTATTGCTCTTCTACTTAAAAGTTCTTGTTTATTTTTGTGAAATAATATCTTTTTTTGAAAGTTGCACCTGAATCTGACAAACGTCCTGTAACATTGCAGCGCAATTTAAAAAATATCAATTTTAATACATTTCTGACAACTAAAATTTTTCTCTTTTCAAGGGTAGATAAAAATATAAACAAAAAATATGACTCCCGGTAATATTTTCATGTATCATAGTAGATTTAATTCATACAATATCAGCGTACAATATATCTTCGATAGCATCACATTTTTTCCAGGCGTTTGCATGGTTCTCCGAACTGCTGGTAGAACATGCAGAGATCTTCTGGGCGCTGTTTGGTGTAGACATGGATAGAGTACTCACTGAACAGCCACCTGATACTTGGGACTCGTTCCCACTCTTCCAGATACTGAATGATTACTTAAGAACCGATGGTAAGCTTATACAGAAGTAGCCCTAATAATAAGATCAGGCTTCTAACTAAATATAAGAATATATTCCGACTTTGTATGCAAAATTTCATGCTTCTAGTCTAGATCCACTGATCTAAAAAATATGCATTACTACTCTTACACGATGTTAACGTTAAAATAAGTATGAATGGTTATTTGGTTAGATATTTTGTTTAATTTTGCTACCATTAAATATATGTATGCCAACTCTCGAAGATTGGCCACTTCTATAACTTTCAGATCTACTCTATCGCTGTGTAGGTCCAGGTATACAATATGCCACCCCTTCCTTTCCCGTGGGTATCGTAAGAGGCGACTAAAGAAAGTTATAGTCGAGGGATGGGTAGTATTTTAAACCCTATCCCTTTTAAACCATCACCAAAGGCCTAACTGCGGTTACTAACCCGCCTGCCAAGCGTGATAACTACTTGCAAAACCGCAAAACTATATTTAGCAATGGACAATGGCTGATATGGTATTACTACCAGAAGTTACGCAACCATTAATCCATTGGCCATAAATCACCCACTGCTATTTTGTTCATGCACGTTTTGCAACACGTGTTTCACCTCTAAACGAGGCATCTTCAGACAAATTATTAAATCGCTGCTCGGAACCTAATGTTAACCGTTCGACATCCAAACTACGAATAACGAATTGTAGTAATAGTAATGGTTGATCTTCAAGCGTTGGTAGTCACACACATACTAATGGTAACGGAATTAAACAAAATAATTCTAATCAAATAACCAGTGATATGGACTTCCGCAAAATGACGCCTAGTTCAGTAAAATAAGTATATTTTTTCTTGCCATCAGAAAACCTGAAAGGCGGGAGATTCCATGAACACCTCCGTGATACGTTTGCACCTCTGGTAGTACGTTATGTGGACTTGATGGAATCATCAATAGCTCAATCGCTACATAAGGGATTCGAAAAAGAACGATGGGAGATCAAAGGGTAAAGAATCATTGACTATCTTTTATCTGCGTATTCGATCGCGTCATCGAAATCTGTTCACTGAGCGAGATTAAAAGTAAATCATGACCTTTTTCATTCAATACCTTACCTGTATGTCAAATTTCATAGTAATTGGTTAAGTCCTCTAAGCTCCAAGAGGCAACAAACAAATTTACTTTTACATGTATAATATTAATAAAGATTAATTAGATCAGTATTTATACTATTTACACGTTTGTATCAATTATTCCAGTAATGGTTGCTCGACAAGCGAAGAATTGTTCTGGAAACTGGATGCGTTACAATGCTTCATCAGAGATCTACATTGGCCCGAGCCAGAATTCCGGTCACATCTCGAGCAGCGACTTAAGCTGATGGCCAGCGATATGATGGAAACCTGCATACAGAGGACTGAAGCTTCTTTCCAGGTTACTATAATCACTTTACTGAATTTTCCTACATATGTTAGCTAACACTTCACTTGACTGTCATGCCACTGCCACGCATTGGTTAAAAATTGGATAACTAATCACAGAAAATTAATTTCTTTGCCATCTTATAAAATTTTTCATCAGTACAACGAAATAGTTTCATTTGTTGAGCATATAGTAAAGAAGTGTAGTGAGAGAATATTTAGCAGTGTCTTTTATATCTTGGCATTTATTTTTCAAATAACATTTTTATTTACAGTCGTGGTTAAAGAAGAGTGTGACCTTCATGTCCACGGATTACATCTTACCGGCAGAGACGTGCGCTATGGTGAATGTTGCTTTGGACGCCAAGAATCAAGCCTTAAAACTCTGCGCTGTGGAAGGCGTCGACATTGTAAGTTTAATAAATTTCAATTAAATGTCATATAATCACACCATCACCTGATCCTCGAGCTCGGATTCCATGTATTATGAGAAACCAGGCAAGGAATCTAGAGGCACATTCCAGAACACCCAAACCCGAACCAATTTGTAAAATTTCTCTTCAGGGCACTTCCCTTGATAATAAGTCGAGTCTCACTAAGGATTCTTGGCATCGATATATTAATTCTAGCGACGTCCAGTTTTCCATGCGGTCATCTGGAGGAAAAAGCTAAGATAGCTTCCAAAAATCCTTGTCTCGGGTGCTTAACCAAAAAGTGAGACGGTATTATATACGCCAGAAAACCGCCTAAAACTGTATAAAGCTCAAGTGAGGCCACACATGGAATACTGTTCTCACCTGTGGGCAGGAGCGCCACAGTACCAATAATCCTTCCATTAGACCGCATTCAAAGTCGGGCAGCTTTTGTTTTACATATATACAGAATATGTTGACGATCGGCGTCTTATGTCCGGCTTGACCCAACTGAAACATGCGTAGAGATGTTGCATCTCTGTGCATCTTCTACCTAATATATCCTGGTGAGTGCTCTGAAGAATTGTTCGGATTGATACCTGCTGCAGATTTTCACCATCGTACAACCCGAGAGTTTCCATAAAATCAAGCATTTTTGTTAAAATTTCATCCCAACCATCTGGACGAGTTGGCGGTCCTCCACCGTGCGTTTTTCAAGGCACTTTCTCCCACGCACAACCAATTACTCTTTGAAATCAACTTCCAGCAGCAGTATTTCCGAACCGATACGACAACATAACCTTCATATATTTTATGAAAAGAGCATATTCCTTTTTAAAAGGCCGGCAGCACACCTGCAATGCCGTAGGTTTTGTGGGTGATTATGGGCGGCGGTAGTCACTTACCATCAGGTGAGCCGCATGCTCGTTTACCCCCTGTGTTGTAAAAAAAAAAACCAATTTGTAAAATTTCTCTTCCTAAATGACCCGACCGAGAATCAAATCCGGGACCTCGTTACGCAAAGTAACGTGCCTACCACTGTCTCACTAAGGTTTCCTTGAGGATATATCATCATCATTTTAATCATTAATTCACCACTACTAAATGAATCCACTAACTTTCCATGCAACACATTTGAGATTGTCACTTCATTTACGGAGGATAATTTTACATTGTATCTGCCTATACATGGCCACGCTACTTGTTAACCTTTTTTCTATCCTCATAGTCTCGTCTTCTTAACCAAAAAGACCAAACTTAATAAAGAAGCTAAACAGCTCGTGGTCTGAAATATATATAAACCCGCAAATCATGCACATCTCTGATCACTACACTATAACGCCATAATACTTCATATCTTCAACAGTATCAATATCATGTCAAAATGGATGGCCAAATTGAAGCGTGCCTGCAAGCTATGGCGACTGGCATGACAACACGACTGTCCGCTGTACTCGAAGCTACTTTGGCAAAAATTGCTAGATTCGACGAGGGCAGGTAATCAAAACAAAACCTAATAATTTTATTATCTTTTACAAAAACTAGACAGACGATAAAATTCTTAATTTCGTGGAAACGATTAAAAATAAGCTTTTGTTTTACATATATACAGACCTATGTTCGAGATGAGGAATCGACGATAATTATTCAAAAACTTTTGGACTTGGCGCAACTCAATAGAAACATAGTGGTATCTGGATTATGAATTGGTCTATCCCGTGATATAATTACATTCCCTTGGTTCTATGACCTGAGATCCTTCAAGTGTAATGTGAAAAAGCATTTAGTGAGTCGGCATAGTAAGGCCAACCGTTAAAAGAGAGAACTTATTATATTCGGTAGATTGCGTTGATGGACTCGTACTGTCCTTGTATTTGCTTAGAAGCGTATCACCACACAACGTATTTTTATAAAAGAGATACAAAGACCTGTCTCAGAGAGTTTCGGTCAAAATTCTCGATAAATCAAGCATTTTTGTTATATCAGACGTTAAATGTCCACTGCTGAACATTTGTAATAATTACCACGCTTGACAGTCGGATTGGCAACAACAGTTAGCCAGTTTTAAGAATTACTATTGCCCATCCCTAAATCGTTAAGTTCCCTTAGTCGCCTCTTACAATTACCACGGTAAAGGAAGGGATGGCCTATTCTATGCCGGGACCACACGACAAATCAAACGTAGATAATGAAAAGGATATAGAATAATCGAGTAATACATACAGATTCAGATTGCGTTATGAGCAAGTTTTTTAGACCGTATCTTTGCCTGGTAAATTGCACTTCAATTCCTTTACAGACAACATTTAAGTGAATTGATCGAAATACATATGTTTATATATTTTATGTCAAAAATGTAAAAACTTCATGAGAATTTCATTTTTTTTTTTCAGTTTAATCGGCTCCATCTTGACGATAGCGAACGTGTCTGGTTCGGGCAAAGACATTGGCCAAGGCTATGTCAACTTCATGAGAAATTCCATGGACCAAATCAGATCTAAGGTTAGTTATTAAGGAATATACGTACCTGCTGAATGTAGGCCTTCTCCAAAAGGGGGGTATGCCAGTAGTTACCACGCTTGGTAGGCGGGTTGGCAACTGCAGTTAGGCTTTCAGTGATGTTTTAAGAGGGACGCAGTTGAATGGGCCTTCGACCATTAAGTTCCCTTAGTTCGCCAATTACGACACCTACGGAAAAAAAGCATGGTCCATTCTATACCGGGACCGGGTAATCTGATATAGTATTATTAAAACCAGTGAATCATATCTATTCACGGACGGATTTCGATAAACTTTTATCTGGTGCTAAGTCAGTAAACATATTTTCCCTTACATAAATTCCCCAAAATCTGCACCGATGCTAAATTAATTAACATTCTCTTCACTGACAATAATGTTTTCCGTCCTCTACTATCCCATTCGTGTAAAAAATAAGTCATGTATAAAAAAATCTAGGTATTACCACAAGATAAGTATGTAAAAATGTTCTATGTACAGGTAACAGACGAGCTATGGATCCTGCAGTTGTTTGAGCACTGGTATGGGAACCAAGTGAATCTAATCAACACTTGGCTCACAGAAAGGCCGGCGTTGCATCCACAGCAGGTCGCCTGCCTTTCCATTATCCTAAAGGTACAAATACTTATTTGTACTTAAGTTATTAAAAAAAAAACATAATTTTTTATTTATTCAAAATTTAGTCTGCACTGTTTTTTTTTTGTTTATTGAATTTGAATAAAAAAAAATAAACATTCAGTGAGATGGTCAATCTATTGCTATAAAAGCTTGATTATTATTATAAAAAATGGATTTATATTAACGTTTTAATGCCTCTTATCGTGTTTTATTCTTTTTACTCCTTCTTCCTCTACAGAAAATGTACAGTGACTTCGAGTTGCAAGGCGTAATCGATGATAAGCTCAACTCGAAAGTTTACCAGAACGTTGCAGCCAGAATGCACACCGAGGAGGCCACCTGCAGCTTGTTGTTGGCACAGCAAGATACTGGGTAAATGATAAATGATCATCATTTCTTAATGATTTTATTAAAAAAATAAGTATATTTAGAAACGCAAATTAGATAATACGATAGCCCTAATAAAAAAAATATAGCCAGTGTCATTTTGGATGGTATACGGATTCTAACAATATCTCATACAATTAAATCTGTTTACGTATTTAGAAATAATGATGAAATAAAGTAATTTACATACATACATGAGCCTTGGAATCATATTACACTCATTTTTCCTTTGGGATAAAACGGAATGAAAACACTCTTGCAGTATCAGATTAGCAGCACAAACGGGATTACTATTCTATTTCAATCCATAAAAAAATATTACCTATGTACCTTATAACAAGGACTATTTTATTGCTTTCAATTTATTATGTCAATCAAGCAGCTATTTTTATCATTATTCATTTCATCATTATACATTCAACGCCATCTATACTAAATTACCTAAACAGATTTAGTTATAATAAATATTACCAGATGGCGTTACACTGATTGTCCTGAACAGACCTAATCACGTCTTTTCTGAAGAACCCCACCTGTAATGGTTAGGAAAACATTCGTAGGAAGTTTATTCTATAACTAGAACACAGGTGGAAGAAACGCGTCTAAAACCGCGCTGTACATGAGCATATTTAGGTTTTAAACCACTGATGGTCATTCTATGAGTACAACAATAATTTAAAACATTACCTTAGACAGTGTCTATCAAAACTCTAAATTATTAAACATTGTTTAATAAGTATGTTTATTTGTAATTTTTTTTTTCCTTATCTACCTATTAGATACTACTACTAGATTATAAATACCTTTTATTTTTAATAATAATTTCCTTTCCTTGGTCATAAACAGATGTTAGACGACCTTTTTAGTAAAACTAAGAGTAAGACTCTAAACATGTATTTAACATCTGTCTATCACAAACTTACTTTTTTTGTAGTAAGACGGTCAATGCATTGTTTACGAACAGCTATCCACACAGGTGGACAGAGCCATAAAATAGAGCTCGTTTATTAGGAACCGTTAATAAAACCAATTTAACTTAACGATGTAGTAACGACTCTTTGTAGAACTGGGTCGATCTCATAAGAAACGTCTTTACAGCGGCGGCGACGATGGTGGCTCCGAAGAAGGTTCCAGAAGTGGCAAGTCGAAATTAGAAGCGCTCACCGAAGAAGCAAAGTTGGGGAACGTGACCGCGGTTGTTGGCAAGGTAACTGAATCGCCTACTGTAGACAGAGTTTGGAATGCCGTGGCATTTCGAAAGAGCGGCGGTCTTTGTTAACGAAACTTGGAAAATAGGTTGATCTATCTACTTATTTTTAAAAAAAAATTAACTTTGGGTTCCGTATTTATCCATGTAATGGTACTGTTTAACTATGTCACTGATTTGAAATTCATACATACAAATATATAAATGTGAAAGCAAGCTTGTTACCTCTTGGCAGTTTAATGACTGCACCAGTTGTACAAAATTTGGCATACATTTACTATTTGACCTAAACTAAGCAGTATATATATTCTATTGAAAGGTCAAAATAATTTAAAAAAAAGATCTGTCTATGATTTATTATCCATGTACATATTTATACTTACTTTATCCTTATAGGTCGGCAACATTTTCGGTCGCGGCATCGGTGAATTATCTACAAAGTTGGGTGGCGCATCATCCTGGTTTTAGCGCATTAAAAGCGCAAAAAATTCACATGTTTTTATAAACATACCTTTCTTTGCCTATATTGATGTAATGAGATGAGATTTCAAATGACTTTTTGTTACTGCACCGCCATTTTCGAAACTCCATTTGAATACGTTTAAAGTATACCTATTGAAATTCTTAGGACTTCTGAATTAAAATGTCAGTGCCGTAACAAAAAGCGTTTAACTGTTCTGTGATGATGAAAAAAAAATATTGTTTTTCATTCGATTGCAATCTAGAATGTCCGCCATTTCGAAATAAGAATATAATAAAACAAAATGGCGTCATACGCGCTGAAAACTAATGTAAGTGGCCAGTTATGCATAGCTTAGTGTGATTACATATAGTGTAAACAAGGTCTAGATTTTATTTTATAAAAAAGCTTTATGTACAGTTAGGTCATCATTCGTTTAATGGAGCAAATAACATGTAATAGGTGTTAAGAGTAGTATTTGATATCACGATTTAAATTGTATTGACGAGAAATACATACGAAATGCATACATACATAATGCTACAATAAGAAAACATATCGCTTTGGCAAAATTATTTTGTGTGTTTTACATTATTGTTGCGATGAATTACTATTATGACATACGATATCTATATTATTTACAAAATGTAATGTAACAAAATATTGGGAGATTGGTTTGGATAGAATGAGTGTGAATAAATAAAAGTTTTAAATATTTTATTTTAAATGCATAAGTATTTAAATATTTCCAATTATAAATAATTAATTACATGTTTTCTTTTTTTTACATAATTAACTGGAATTTTGTTATTTTGCACAATAACATGTCAAAGTTTCACGATTTACGATTCTCATCAAATTCTATTGTGAGTGACAGCACTTACCTACCTACTCTCAACTCAATAGTGCAAGTTTTCAACGCAACATTTTTCTTATTATTCAGAATTCCTATAGATACTTCAGAAACAGTATTTTTCTAATTATTAAATTAATAATGCCTCTTTATAAAAATCGGTTGATTCTCGTATTTAAAATCGACAATCTTCGTATTGCGTTTTTATAAAAACAAAAAAGGCGCGAAATATATTTTCCGATAATGTGTGTTGCCATAAAAAAATGAAAACTTACAGTGAAGGGTAAACGTTTGTTTTTATAAAAACGCAAATTAATTAGCTACTCTATGCTGTAGTATTTCTCTATTATATTTTATGCTCTGTAGAATCTATTACAATCTAGTAACGTTTTACCTTGACTAGTCGTCAAAATAATACATAACTATTTATATAAAAAAATACTATTATAGTTATATTTGTTAACAAAATAATATTCTTCTACGCTAACACCTTACAAATTTTTAAACTAGGAAAAATTTAAATTTCTTAGATAAATGTTAAAAGATTAAAATAGCGGTTAGACGCTATGCTGAAACGCCTTAAAATGTCTTGTTGGGAACGGCTTATAAAATAGATCTAAAAATGTGACTGTAACCCTTTTACAATAAAGAACTCGGAAATGTTTAATAAATTAATAATTTCGTCGGTCTATTATCTTAAATATATTTTTATTACTTACAGTACCTTTTCTAACATCATCGACTTGCGTATTTTATGTTATTACTTAATTAGATACCTTTTTAATTTATTAATAAAAAGAAATCGGTTGAAAAGGTAACTATTTTTCAAACTTGCAACAGATACGAAAATAAATTACAATATGACTAAAAGTTGGCACAGTATGTAATGTAAAGGAAACTATTAACGTAGTGCTCACGTATTATAGAATTAAACTAGAATTCAATATATTCACAACTGTACACATGTACACAATAAATTATTACAAAAGAATATAATAAAAAAATACCTATAGGTATTTTAATACAGATATACGATTGTTTGCTACATACTTTGATTGTTCAAATTATTAAATTCAAAATTGACTAACAACTTAATCATACGGTCGTAATAATGTTCTAAATAAAAATATATTAAGTTTAAATTTCTACTTATAAACTAGTTTCATGTGTGACATTTTATTTTACACCTACATTAAAGGTGTATAATTTTTTCTTATAAACTTATAATACAAGCCAATTATAAATTTATAATACAAGCCAAAATACAGTAATAGTATTATTGAAATTTGACAACTTTATCCTGTGACTATGGATCAAAATATATACCTAGCCACGATATTTGTTTTTTTATTTCAGCATTCAGCTTTTCTAAAAATGTATATATATTAAATACTATAACTGGATTTCGGTTTTATATAATTTCTGTTATACCTAGACATTAACTTAATTATCACAGTAATCTAGGTATGCTGTTTAATTAGTTATTTTTACTGATTTCTTAAATATGTTCCCATATTGTTTATGATCGTATGAAAATAAAAAAAATATATAGCAGATTTTAAAAATTACAACTTTGGGTATCGTGCTCAATGTGAATGAAAATGACAGTTTTGTAGTGTTTAAGTGCATTAATAATGAGCCGACTGAAGTAATACGTAGATACATGCTTGTATGATTTCGCTAAAGGAAACTCACAATGGTATATAATGTTAAATTGCTGAATTATTACGTGCCTATCTTCTCAAAATATATGCTATTATAGTCTATAGCAAGTTCACAATTGCAGAATGTTAATAATGGAAGCCACTGTGAGTTTCTGGTAATGCTTGGGAGAGCCATCGTGTGCATCGCGAGTGTAAGGGGATACAATAAAAATATTTACAATAAAAATGTTTACTGTTCTCATGATTTTTTATTTTAGTAATGTAATTAGGTAGTTGAGAAATTGGCATTTAATTTACTCATTATTGTGTTATTAATTAGTTTCTACTAATTATGCCTCGTGACTTTACCTGCACTTATCTGTTCTCTTGGCGTGGGTTAGCACTAGATTTTATAAAATTTCCCGTGATACAGGATACTATTTACTGTTTTATTTCTGCGCTAAAATTCGTGCCCCTTTGGATTCTCTTCTTGTGATTATATTTTGTCTGTTAGTTACTGTTAGGATTTTTTATAGTTTTTAAGATAATTAGATTATATAATTTTAAGATATTGTATTTTATTGTCAGCTTCGTGAATTTTAAATATATGTACTTGTTTTCAGTCATATTTTGCCACACATATTTAGAATAAAAATTACTAGGTAGGTAACTAAATATGCGTCCAAATTTACAATCAGTCCCCAGTTACATAAGAAATCGTTAATAGTTTTCATGGATATTGTGTTACCAGAATGTGTACCTGCTCTGAGCAAAAATAGTTACAAAATAAAATGTATATTTGTCGTCCTTTTATTAAATCGTGTCGTGAAAGCAGTACATTGATTTCATAGTCAACAACCCGAGAATGTGATTACAACCGTTCTGAACCGCAATACGTGCCAACGGGCATTTTTAAATATTTGACCTATTTTTAGTCACCGCTAATAATAATTAGAAAAGGTAGGTAACGTGAACCTCTCAGCTGGTGAAACATCCCATGCGTGAGAAATGTTAAAATTAAGGGAAATTTAATTTTTTAAATTGTAACACTAGAGTTAAAGTGTTAACAAAGAGAACTAATGCATTTGAATGAACAATTATATAGATATAGTGTCATTTAACATATATAATTACTGGTGATAAAATATAATACCTACACAGTGTTAATATTACATAAAAAAAATTATAAGCTGACTTCAGTGTTGTAAATCGGGGTGAAAGATTTTAAGTATCAAGCAACACCGGCCAAGAAAAGTTTTATTTGACATTTCGCAGTGGAGTAGTGCCCATAGTGAACGTGTGTGTAGTTTAAAACAAAATATTTATTTTTATGTCGTGATTGTGAGAAATCCGTAAGTTTTTGACATAAACTTTTTTATTTTAAACATAATTTGTATTATAATTAACTTGTGCGAGTGTTTACAGCGTTTATAACATTAAATATCGTAACTGTTCCCGGAAATGCCCGTTGCGTAGTCCTTTTTTTATTTTTATAAAGAAAAAGTTGTGCTGCCTGATATCTGTGGAGCCATGCATTCCAATCTTATTACGTGGGTGGGGTCATGTACTTACTTTTGCATTTTAGCGCGCAAATAACGTTTTCTCGTAAATAAGTGTGCGTTTCCCTAAAAATAGATGAGCCGGGATGATTGGCAATGTAAATGACTGAATACAATATGTGTTAGTAGGTGAGGGTTAGACACCTGAAATTAAAACTTTTTTACCTTAGCCTAAATAATCTTTAAAAAGTGGTCATGCTCTCAATTTCTTATTTTTTTTTTCAAGTTCAAGGCATTTAAATTTAATACAATACTTACATATATTATTTTAAGGCAATAATTGGTGTTTCTGACCTAACTAAGTGTATAAAATATTTTTTATATTACCAAATTACCTATTCATTAAGATTTAAACTCTAGACATTATTATAAAAAAATATTGTTATTTAAATATAATTATTATTGTATGTATAGGCACATGAGTTATAAACCAAAAATTTCCTTAGGATACTATGACCCTGCCTACCCTGCAAGGGGTGTTGCATGAAAATAGATATTCAACTGTGATAATTCCACTTGACTTACTGATGATTACAAATAATTCTATGATTATAAATATTTTATTTTATTTTGTGGTATCACATGTGATGAATATGTCTTAATGTTAGCCATGAAGGTAAGTTATGTTAATAACATGGAAAAGGTTCAGAATTGCCAGCAAATTAATTGCACTCTGGTGTCACGGTGTATTTTATGATGTCCATGTTTATAGAACATAGTTACTATTTTCAAGAAATGAGCTATGCCATTAAAAAATATTATTGTATATAAATACAGTAATTTTTTTTTTAAATATTTAAACTAAACTGATTTAGAATAAAACTACCACTGAAGTTTGGAATTCTGTAGTAAAAAAATTTGGAAATTTAAATATTTAATACACAAAATTGTTTGTGATGTAGGTACAGTAACTGATAAATTGTTCAGAATTATTTACATTGTTTACTTTAGATGGCTAAAGTAGATGTTCCCAGACTTAATAAAATTTTTACTTAACACTATCCCATGACTATAACTTTACAATTTTTCATAAACATCTATACAGTATAACTGCAAGAGGCTTATGTCAGTATTGTATATTAAGTGGATGTACACCTTTGATTATACAGTGTCTCCATACAAATGCTTCGCTAAAACAGGTCAACTTTTTTCACCATATATGCGTGAATAGGTGTTACCGTGATGTATATTTATTACTCAGTATGTGGGAGAAATGATGACCTTACAGGGTAAATTAAAAAATAAAAATAATACAAAATTCTTGCAATATATTTGAAAGAACCAGATAAACAGTCTATAACCATTCATAAAGATACTTATCTTTACTGGATATTTTGATTTACATTTGAGAATAGACATAAAATATGTTTTTGTTTTTAAATAATTGACAATGCCCATCCTTTTAATTATATTTATATTAATTTGTAAGCAATACATACATATGTATATTTATATTATATATCAGAAAAACAGTTCCCATTTCTAATTTAAAAAAATACCTGATATGGAAAATTTTAATCTAATTACTTGCAACACTGATAAAACATGTTTTTTTTTAATTGAATCATGATTTAAAAAAAAAACATATTTCAGTCAATTTGATGCTTGGCTGACTAAAAGTTATTCCATTTTTTACACTTGATGCTTGGTATCTGTATAATCTAAAGATTACCAACACACATTAGATGAGAAACCAAGCATTTTAATAACATTTTTTAGTTCATATAATGAAGAAACAAATTATTGAAAGGAAAATGTTTTAAAAATACTTTTTAATGTTTTTAAAGTTTAAGAAGTTTTATAAATCTGAATTTGTATTGTTCTATAATTGTAATTAATTATAGAATATTAAATATTAAATGTCCTATAAAATTCAATCAGTATCAACAGGTAATAAACACCTTTTAAAAATAGCTTATGGCTAACTAATGGTATAATTATGTACTCCATACATTGGTATGTACATAAACATTTCCTAAATAAGTTATCTGTTTCATATTTGACTTAGCCACAGAAAAAAGTGCTTATTATCAGAGGCTTGAACTAGAAAACCACTCTGAGGCAACAGAAAATATCTCTCTTATACATGTAATGATAAGAAATAATTACAAAAACCATTAAAATTCTAAGTGAACTAAATGTTTACATTCCTCGAAATACCATGACATACTTAGATGCTGTTTACAGTCCATTGCTAAGGAAAACCACACACATAACATTGTATAACGCCAACTTTCTCATACCTACTAATAAATAATTTCATTTATTATTTTGTACATAGACCATAATAAACCTAGATGAATCGACGTCTTGAAAAACGTCGCAAAAACGCATCGTTTTCTTATACTCTGTGATTAAATGTTCAATTTGTATCAAAATGTAGAAAGTTTAAAACATCACATTACGATTAAACAGGAGTAATGATAAATTACAAGATATAAACGTAATCATAATCCAACAAATAAGTTTACGTACATGAAAAAGTCAAATTCCTCGAATTATATCGTACATGACGTACTTAGGTTAGTACTTAAAGTCTGAGAGATCTCATTATTAAAAATATCGAAACGACTGAGCAACTTAATATATATATATATATATATATTTTTTCTTTTGCGCTAAGTTCCTAATTTGGAAAAAAAGGGATAAAATAGTCTAATAGATTTGTAGATTTTAGTTAAATCGATAATATTTCCATCCTGAGTTAAGGAAAACCAAACACGTAATATTGATAAATAATTGTAAACGACATTGTTTCAATACTAACTTTTCTATATCTAAATAAATTATCATATATTAAATGAAATTGATCAAATACATCTAGATGGAGTTACGAGTGTCAAAAACGTCCTAAAAACGCTCAGTTGTAAACCGCAGATAACTATTATACACAATCTTCCTCTGGTGTTCATGTCTATAAGTGTCGGTTACCATTTTGTAAGCTGTGTGTCCTTCCTTTTATCTCTTCTTCGTTACGTTATTATAGAGTTTACTGTATTTATAGAATATCAGGTAGAATCTAGCCAGTTCAGTTTACGAGGACATAAATTATTATATTTTGGACAGAAATGTAATGGACAGTAACTTCAAGTACTGCCAAGATTATCCAAAGCACTTCAAACTGGCACCCATTCAAGATTGCACCTCGTGAATGTGACATTAGCTTGCCATTTACTAGTTTACTCTGAGATTTCCTACCATTCCGGTAACGATCGGTTCACTAGCTACATCCGTTATTTACGATTCGTAAAAAAAACCGGATAGATATTCATTTTGTAAACTGAATCGGTCACGCCTATTGTTATTTCTTTTTTAATTCGCGGGAATAAATTTTCGAATCCGTTTTGACAAGATTTCTCTAGGTCCAATTTGTAAGTATATATTTTCAGATAAAAAAAAGCATTTTCCAAATCGGTTTATAACTAACGAAGATATCAGGTAACAAATATAAAGAAAATACAATCGAGAACCTACTTTTTAATGTCGATTAATAAAATTGACTAGTTGTGACGATTCGTTCTGTCGAATCCATATTTTTTGGACATATTTATACAGTTTTTCCATTCAAAAGCGTTTAAATAAAGACAGAAGTTTATGAGCCGCTGAAGGGAAAAAAAGATTCATATAAATTCACGACCCGAAAAAACAAACGATTAGAATGTCCGAATGAGCTCTTAGATTGCCCATTATACCCACTAATGTGTAAGTTTATAGACATGCTTGGGTGTTTGTAACTCAGTAGATGGTGGATCCTAGTTTGACAGATAGGCTTTGTTTGTCGTAGACCATAGAAAAAACGCGGGATATAATAATCAATTATGAAAGATTAATGTTACTCGTATGATTAGACAACAATTCTCGCTTGAGTGACTAAAAAATAGATGGCAATACGGTTTTACCAATTAAATAAATGCAGGTATACAAAAAATCTTAGTGAACGCTTAGAGAAGTCTAGGCTATATTTTTGGAAGTATGTTAGTCCTTTTCGCTCTGATAAATAATTCCTAATGTCCCCTTCCAGAATAGCTGCTTTAAATGTTCGTTCGAAAGTTACGTTATCCTGTAACAAATCTAAATCTGTACTGAATACAGTGTGATGAATTTGAAAAAAATAATTTTGTGTCTAAACAACAAAATTCAGACGTCCCATTTTTTTTTTCTTTTTAACCGCTAAAGGATTTGTCCAAGAATTAAAAAATTGTAACCTTCAAGGAATATATAAATAAGACTCCTTTCCAAATGTTATGATATTAACACTGTCAAAGTTCCTTAAAAGATATGAGGGTCGACGCCGTGACCTAAGTTTACCCCATAATATTGCAGGGCGACCATATGCTGCGCTATTGTAACATCTAATTAGACTGCAGCCGTTGCTTTTTTGTCATATTTGTGGCGTTAAATAAATTCCTTATTCTTTTCGTATGCGTTATTAATTGTGTTTTAATCTGGTGATAAAGTTTCAAGGGGTCTAAACGTTTAGGGAGAAAGAGGTAAAGGAAGAAATAAAAGGCATGGCACTGGGCAAAATCTGGTTCACCAGGGTCAAATTACTCTAAAAATACCAGTACCAGAGTTTCACGAAATGTCGTTAGTTGACTTTCTTCACCTTTTCACCAGTCTATATACTTCGCTATCAGTGTGGCCAATACAGTGTATTACCAATTCACCGCTGCTTTTCATTCGCAGTGATCGCAAGTGATGACAGAGAAAGACCATATTTGGAATATTGTTTTGTTGCAATAAAACGCATCGATTGCATTAACAGACATTGATCTTTATTTTTCTGTTAATTT